AACTTTTTGAGAAATTACGGGAAACTTTTTGGAAATTCTTGAGCAACTTGTGGAAAGCCTTAACTGCATTTATCTCTTAGGAAATGGGTTGAGTTCAGGGTTAGTCGGTTATAACTGAAACGATTAAGGTGATTTCGAGTTCAACTTTTATAAAGGTGTGCTACAAACTCATTCTTACTGTGTTTGATTGTCTGTGTTCTCAGTGTCTTCCTGTAAAAAAAAAAACAAAAACGCAAGAGCTATTTGCAAGAGCTTTAAGTACTCCTGACCATCTTTATAGTTATGCGAGTCATTACTTCTTTTATCTTCAATAATTCATTTCGTAAACTTAATCTTCATAAATGACATTAGGCCACTGAATTGTACCCGAAATAGATTTCAAAAGAGATTCCCATCTGAGTATTTAATTTTCTTGACTGACTTCATAACAAAACTATTGCACAGGATCTATTCTTGAAAGCACTGAATGATCTGATTGTTTTCGTGTGCTCAAAAATTTATATATCAGTGAGCCTTAACATATCTTATTACTTTATTTAAGTATCCTCAAAGGAGATCTTTTATGGGCACTTTCTGAAGTTCAGCGGAAGTATTCGGATTATATTAACTAGTCGAGTTCTCCTTTCGGTATTTAACAATATTCATTGGAGTGAAGAGAGTAATTATTGCCTACTGATAAACAATCGACGTAGTTACAAATTTACATGTGGCATGAAACACTTCCATTTTTAAGTTTTTAACAGTCTATTGTCTAGCAATTACATACAGGTAGCCAAAGCCGGGCAGGACTGGGTATTTGCTATGAAATTCTAATTTTGACAAGCCTATCTACACTGTATATAGACTTGTCAAAACAACTAGAAGTTACAAGCTGTAGTCCGAACGCGCGGCTTCGAAGTACCATTTAAGTTGTGCGTGGGGCATTTGACCCACTCTTTACAATGTGGACGGTAAAGGAACAGGCAGTTAAATTTCACATTATATTTCCGACTTTCTTGCCCGCTTTTTCTCCCACCTCCCTTATTTTTTTATTTATTATTATTTTTTTTGCCTTTTCTCTTTTCTCCCTTACTTCCCCCTTTCTCCCTTGTTTTGGGATATTTAGTCAATTTATGACTCCTTTTCCTTCCACTTATAATGTATAATTATTAATATAAAATATTTAGCCATTTCGGATTGGCTTAAAATTATATTCATGGCTAATTCTTCAAAAAATGCTAGGCTGATAAAATGTAGAACAAAAGCATCACATTGTCCAATAACAGAGTAGATTTATTGGGCGAACGATATCAGTGGCGCTCTCTTTGTTGAGTAAGGGCAAAATAATTAACCAGGACGAGACAGCCAAATAACTGACCCAAGCTAAAAGACCTTGCAAGAATATATACACAAAGAAAGTTGTTCATTCTAAACCTAACCCACTGCTACTTGAAGAATGTTTGCATGAAAACTCACTCGTTCGCATCATCTTAGTGGGGGTGCTTGACCTAGAGTCAGCTGTATTCGTAGGCTACCAACTGATTCCGATAGTAAATTACTGGTTCTCATCAGACTCTGAATCCCCACTTATGGACATGTGATGAGGTGAGGTAGTTATACATTACAAATTGCACTCTTTAGTGGTCCCTTGATTTAATAGAAACAGTATGGTACCTGAAAGTTCCCGTCTAATTTGCCATCACCCACATGTCTGTACAGGTACCGATAACGACTAAGTAACTTTCCGAGGGAGTTTATCATCTTCTTCACTAAAAAACATCGTCGCCAGATCTCCTCAGACATCAGTCTCAACCGGAGGGCTCACTTAAATCGCCATTTCTCCTAATGTTCAACTCACCAAACTTATCCTTTTCCAACGCAGTTTCAACTGGATACTTAAGTTGAATTTTAGTTGAAATATATTGTGGAACAGAACATGCTCGAAATACAGTGAACTCAGTAGGGCATTGGTGTCCGGGCTCGTTGCCCGTTGTTGACGGTACTAATGTGAACATGCCCTTTTTTTCAAGTATATACGCCAGACTTCGAGCATGGCGCCGGTTTCCTAGTACAAATTGGAGACCTTTAACTTTGTTTACTCCTTAAATGTACGTGTGTTCATTTCTCATACCGGTTCTGGGGCAATCTATTGCTTTTTACTCGCAGCTGCGCTCACTTTAAAAGTGACGTTTGACAGTACACAATTTCATACTTACACACGGTACTCAGGCATAAGTAGAGGTGGCATAAGTAGTGGCGGCCTTGGTGGATGGCATTCTCCTCGATACTGCATAATTCTTCATATCATACTTAGCCTCTTTCTATAACTGTTAGTATTCATTGTCACTGAAATACTTTTTGTACTGTGACTTAAACGGCTGTTGTCTACGTTTTGATTTGCAGGATAGGTCCAATTTATTCAGTCGACTCATGAAAAGCTCGTCGTCTGTAACTGGCCTGAGATAATCTGAAACGGGTGACATGATAGAACAAATATACCTACTGCCAAATGCCAATAATTAACCACTATTAAATTTCATCTTACACACTCGCGTTTAATTTTTTCGACATAATGTTTTAATAACAAAAGAAACCTCGCGTTTTGAAGTAGAAGAATCTGCTTGGGGTTCTGGACAAATGCTGGAACAGCTTTCATGTTAGACGTCAGTCAGTATCATTTGACATTTTTTTTATCTCCCGCGGTCCACTGACCTTACATGTCACAGGAGTGCATAATTTTAACATATACAGGGCACCAACTAAACTTAATAGTGACTTACGGGACTCGCAGGTATGTGTTTATATTCTAATATAAAGCATTCACTTTAGATTTCGGATTCAAAATCTCCCGAGACCTGATTAAACCGGGTCCTTTAGAGTAAATGTAGCCTTGCCGTTAAAAACGAGTACTCTCAAACGACGACAATTTAATTCGATAGTTGGGTCATCTAGTTGGCATCAAAGTGTTACCCTCGTGCATGAATGGATGAAGTAAGAAAACTGAACCAAGTTTTGTCTGCCGCAGAAAATGCCGCGAACTCAACTTCCGTATGGCAAGATGGTCATTGAGTATTGATGACGTGACAATTAAAAGGGTACCTTATGAAACCCCGAGATTTAGTAACAGTTGACTTGCTCTCAATAAGGAAATTGAATATCAATATGAAATAGCGAAGCAATTTTAACAGATCTCTTCGAAATGTATTCGCTGTGAGTTGACCTCAGTTCTTCCTTTACTGAAAAGAAATTGAAGGATCGGTCAATCATCGTTGGATTGGATTGCCTTGCAAACCTAATCACACTTGTTTCATGGGGACAAGATTTAAATTCCTTTAAATTCAAGGTGACTACGTACATTGCTATTTTCTTCCGCCCATTGATATTCAGGTTCTTCAGTTAAAGTTCTGCTGGCAAACAGATGGCTGAAACAACGCTGAGCTGCTCACTACGATTAAGGTCATAGAACAACTTTAATTTCAGCTTTTCTTATTGAAATTATAGGTGTACTTCCGACCTAAGAACCATCCACAGTCATCGCAATTTATGACATCGATCTTTGATCGGCAGCAGACCTCTAGCTTCTCTTAATATTAACAAGCAAACATAGTCTTCAAGAAAGACACTGCAGACCCTCCAATATGGGTAAGTTCTTGATTGTGCCTTTGTTTAATATTTCCTTTCACTGACCTTAGGATATTATTTTGCTCTAGCGAACATTTCTTTCCACTATTTCCGGGTGATGTGAGCTTTCATTGTGTTATTCAATATTACTCCAGAGTGTCAATGCTTTAGAAATTTCCCGTTCCAAAGAAATAGCTGGAAATGGCATGGAATGCGTTGCAAATGAAAACCTTTTCCGCTTGCCTATGTTTGGTCATTAATTTAGTATACTATGATTTCGTTGTTCGTAAATAACAAGCGAACAATTCATGTATTAAATAAAGTTTTCACCGTTTATTTTCCCTTTACTAACGTCGCAATTTGAAGCTAATAACTTTACTTAGCGCACTTTTCCTTAACGCTGGATTGTCCTGCCTTGGATTTTCCCGTCATATACGCACCAAAACCTGGAATCAAAAACTAGACTCCCCCCCAAAAAGAGTAAAAAGAGAGTAGGAGCGTATAATCTAAACCCCAATTTATGTAAATTTCAGTGAAAATTAAGGCACTCAACAGGTTTCCGCAACAGGTCCCACTCGCATGAGCTTACATTGCTATTGAACATAGTTGTATGTAAACTGCCCGCGCACACTAAATCACACAGCTAGTTATAGTATTTGCAGGGAACAGAAGAAAATATCGGGGAAAATCCCTGGACGAGTTTAAGCACTATAAAGCTTCTTCCGGGTCACGAGCCACTTCGTTTCAAGAACACGTAAACTCTCATCTATATGCGATTGGTTTCCAAAGCTGGAAAAGAATGCGCAAAAAGCCCAAAACGGAGGGCGATCTTGCAGCTTTCGGAAGACCTCACGGGACTGATTTCCAACCGGTTGGGAAAACAATAAACAAACAAAGTTAACAATGGAACCTAGCCCGAAAACAAAAGAGCTGCGACCCATTGGGGTCCAATTCAACAGAGGTTCTGACGCACTGTAAGGCTATTGAAAACGGATTCACATTTTGTTCACTTTGCGGTCCACATATGTTTTGAAAATTATTGAGGCAAGACCTCTTAAATTATAAAGTCTAAATTTCCTGAAGAGAACTTTGTCAATGAAAATAATTTTGACGTTTATAAATGCATTTAACAAGAGGTTTGAAAGGGTGGAATTCCACAACTCGAGAGAGAGAACAGCCTCCTTTTCAACGATGTACAGAATCATAGCTTTTTATATTATAATAAACAATCCTAGGGGACACCTTAATCCGCGTCTGCAATAGATACCATATTTGTTATAGATCACCCCATCCAGAAAGGCCTAGATGCGAGTCATCAGCTGACAGGGAGTGATATCTCCCAAAGTCAGCTCGCGGAGCAGATTGGCCCTAAATGGAAAGACCTTACCACAGATCCCAAAATGGAAATACAAAAGTCAGCAGAAATACAAAACAATAGTATTTTATTACTTTCATTACATCCCTGTTTGACTACGCCTCTCACCTTTACTAGCCTCCTACAAGGACACTGCCCGTGTTTGGCTAGTCAGCGTAGCTCATGATTTTTTTCTTATAGTGGTTGGTTAAGAAAGAGATACAGCTGTGCGAAAGCTAAACCAATTAGGTTGAACCAGAAAATGATGAGGGAGGGAAGGCAGTGAGATAATAAAGTGCCTGCATTATACCCATGAGATTTTTGAAACTTCATTGCCAGCAGATGGAACAATTAGCATTTCCTGATTGGCTGAAAGAATGTCAACCTGTCAGCAGATGCAGATTTCCAGTAGAGACGAAGGAATACCATCGGCTGTTTTGTGGTATGCAGTTTCTGACATGATTTGTGATTGCTCAACACAAAATATTCAAGGCCGGTATTTTTTGACGTTAAGAAGCTCTCAGTGCAGTTCAATAAAACTCCGAAGAATAATAATTTACTGTAACTGTCTTTTTCATTTTTTTAGGGACAATACCTGATCCAAGAAATGAAGAGGTTACAGAATTGCAGCTCTCTGACATCAGTGATGACGTAGGGACTTGCTGGCGTGTAGTTGGCTCAAACCTATTCATCTCAGCATCAAAGATTCATAATCTCGATGATGAGTACAAGACTAATCGAGACAAGGCAAATGCTCTTTTGATCTCGTGGAAACAACAGGAGGGAAGTAACGCTACAGTTGGCCATCTAGCTGATGTTTTGGATAGTGTAGGAAAAAGGAGCATTGCTGAAAGACTGCTTGGTGGGTGAATGAATTAGTAATAAAGTAATGTGGAAAGAACAAATGATTCTTGTCAGCATTCAGGGCTGTGCTCTAGCAGAACCCGGTGGCCTAGTTCCGTAATTTACTGAGTTGATTGATCTGATACCAACTGTTACGAATTCCGTAAAATAGTTACTCTTTTGCAAGCTTACAATCTGTTCGCTTTGAGCGCTTACCATTTGTATGGAAAACCCGGAAATTCCGGGGAGAATTCAAATGGAACGGTTCATCCCGTTAACATTTTGCGGAAAAGAAGTAATACCTTTCGAGGTATTACCGTTTTCCCGTTTTTACCGAAACGACCGAAAGTTTCTGTACCATTTGTCTGGATTACTAGTGCCAGGCTTCATGTCGAGAGAAAGCGAAAAATGTACCGGTATTTTGTAAATGGTACAACTCAATCCCGTTCCTGTTTTCGGTGCCAAAAAAATACCACAACCATTTGACGGAGTTTTTCACCGAAATTTCCGTACTAATGGTAAGCACTCCTTGCTTAGTGTCCTTTGTCTGCCAAAATGCTTCCTTCAAGCCACATTTGTTGTTTTGGTTGTGATTCCATGTAAATTAGTAATCAGAATACCTACGAAGCGGCTGCGAGAGTATCATTAAATAAGCCGGATTTTGAATAAACTCATACTGCAAGTCATTTTATTTTTTGTAATGATCTTGCTTCCGTTTGTATTTTATTGGTGATACTAGAAAAATTTGCACTCCTGTTGCCTATAAAACACTAAAAATACCTTTGGAAGCTTGAGCAAGGGCAACTCGTGTGCTTGACTTAGCCCTTGTGATAACAGATATCGTCGGTGAATAATCATGTTTTAGTTTGTAGTAGCAATTGAAATGTTGTTGCATTTTGACTCAATGCTATTCCCATTCTGATCAGGCCTCAGTTGCGTCAACCAAAGATTAAGAGACGTGGACACTGAAGAATCAGACGCGCCATATCAGGTGAGTTTGTCAAGTCTTGCATTTTAAAGGTAGAAACAAGTCGCGAGCAGATTATCATTTGTGAGAAATTGTAGGTTCAATTCATATTTTTCGGGCCAACAAAGGAATGATTAGATTAACAGCGCACTCTAGTACCAGGGAGCTGACATTATTAATGCTTTTCCTTCTTCCTTTTTTCAGATTAACGGGTGTGATAGGATGATTTGTGAAATGAGTGACAAACTAAGAGCCAACCTTAGAGAGGTATACAAAATATCCTATCCATGGTAAGGAATGGGAAATGCTTGTCATCCATCCGGCAAAAGAGTAACATGATTTCGTTATTTTTTCGCTTTTCTTCCAGTTTTTTAAAAGCCAAGACGATACATGTAACAAGCTGATAGATGAAATGAGCGACGCTCTGCGAGTGAGCTTATGGGAGGAGGTATAAAAGTAAATTAGTTAGGTCGATAATTCACTGATTTGCAGTGAAGATCGGATCCCTTATCAATCATTTAGGCTATTTTCACACTGAACTGGATAGCTTTTGCTCTGGCACAAAAACCATACCGGTTAGGGCTTCTGTTCAAACAGTAAAAACGATGATCTCGGCGCAATTTTTGTGACGGAGACGCCGATTCGTTCTCTAAAGTGGAGGGTTACCGGCATATCAGATAGGTGTTCATACTAGGGACTTTAAGACACCACGCCGGCGATGGTCACGAAAACGTCCCTTAAAAAAGTGAATTTTCATTCTTTCAATCTCTATCGCGATAACTCCAACTCGTTAACTTTTTCAAACCCAAGCGAGCTCTTTTTCAGCCGAATTGCTAAGAACCATATTCAAATTAAGAAAGAGAAAGAAAAAATTTAGCTGTCGCTTATTTACGTCCTCCATAAAACGTGAAAATAGGAATTTTCCCGTCTTAAAATGTTGCAGTGACGGCAAAAAAAATGTACAAAAAAAGCGTGATGCATGTGCAGAGCTTTTGCTTTGCCTATTCAACCTGTTGCTTTTTGACGTTCTCGTTGTAGATTGTAGTCGTCGTCGTGGCATCTTAAAGTCCTTACAACCGATATAGTGTGAACATAGCCTAAATGTTTCTTTTCGTTTCTTTTTCTGTTTGTTTCATAGGTTTCCAAACTGGAGGCCAAAAATAAAGTAGAGCTTTCAGAAGAAAAGCAAATGCGCCAGGACAAAGAACAAGAAGTGGGTCAACTTAGTACTATTTTATTTCAGTCTCTATCGCGATAACTCCAACTCGTTAACTTTGTCAAACCAAAGCGAGCTCTTTTTCAGCCGAATTGCTAAGAACCATATTCAAATTCAGAAAGAGAAAGAAAAAATTTAGCTGTCGCCTATTTACGTCTACCATAAAACGTGAAATTACGAATTATCCCGTCGTAATGTTGTAGTGACGGCAAAAAATTGTACAGAAAAAGCCTGATGCATGTGCAGAGCTTTTTCTTTGCCTATTCAACCTGTTGCTTTTTGACGTTCTCGTTGTAGATTGTAGCCGTCGTCCTGGCATCTTAAAGTCCTTACAACCGATATAGAATGTTCCTAAATGTTTCTTTTCGTTTCTTATTCTGTTTGTTTCATAGGTTTCTAAAATGGAGGCCAAAAATAAAGCCCTAGAAGTAGAGCTTTCAGAAGAAAAGCAAATGCGCCAGGACAAAGAACAAGAAGTGGGTCAACTCAGTACTATTTTATTGAAATCTCTATCGCGATAACTCCAACTCGTTTACTTTGTCAAACCCAAGCGAGCTTTTTTGAGCCGAATTGCTAAGGACCATATTAAAATTCAGAAAGAGAAAGAAAAAATTTAGCTGTCGCTTATTTACGTCCTCCATAAAACGTGAAATTCGGAATTTTCCCGTCGTAGTCGTGCAGAGACGGCAAAGAAATGTACAAAAAAAGCGTGATGCACGTGCAGAGTTGTTGTTTTGCCTATTCAACCTGTTGCTTTTTGACGTTCTCGTTGTAGATTGTAGTCGTCGTCGCGGCATCTTAAAGTCCTTACAACCGGTATAGAATGTTCTTAAATGTTTTTTTTTTTTTTCGTTTCTTTTTCTGTTTGTTTCATAGGTTTCCAAAATGGAGGCCAAAATTAAAGCCATAGAAGTAGAGCTTTCAGAAGAAAGGCAAATGCGCCAGGACAAAGAACAGGAAGTGGGTCAACTCAGTACTGTTTTATACTAGTCATACAAGGTGCTTCTTCAACCGTGAGCGAACAAGGATGAATGACCGGACTTATAGAAATGACCTCACCATCATTCATTCTTACGCCGACGATAGCACAGAGCCTTATTAACTATAAGCCAGTAAACTAAAAAAAAAAAGAGTCTTATCTCGAGACTGGCGGTCTTACGTATGTTTTACTTCGTTGCCTCTTGGTCTTGCAGGTTTCACAGCTGATCACTAGAATTGATGGATTAGAAGAGGAGCTTTCAATTGCCAAGCAAAAAAGCCATAATGAGATAAACGAAGAACAGGTGAAAAAACAGTTGCGCGAAACGCTGCGGCACTTTTTAAGTAAAACGAACTGTGAAAAATGTTTTTTAGAACTATTTGACGTGTTAAAAGCTTTAATAAGCTAATAATCTTAATAAGCTTAATATGTTTCCCTCATTTTAGGTAAACCGGACCTAAAGAAACCACTTATAATAAACGGGGAATAGCAATAGAATCCTCACGGCCTTTTTGCATGGAACTTAATTAACCCTCGGACGCATACGCAAATTCATACCCCCAGAGTGGTACAATGGGGGATGGATGGAACCCCTCGACGGATTTTTTAATATGTTGCAGTATTTCGAAACGATTTTACCTTCAGTGGAAAGCCTTGGATCCTCTCTACAAGATGAGGTATATTTTATGGGTGGTGGCGCTGCTGGAAGCCTGTAACGTCACCAACAATGGTCGCCATCTTGACCGCCATCTTGCATTTTACCAAGAATTAGAAATCAGGTTAAAGCCGCGAGAAATAGAATTTTTTGTGCTTAACATGAAAAATAACACAATCATAAATTAAGATAAGCACTTTGCATGGTTTTAGTCACGAGATTTACTTTTATTGTTGAAAGAAAAAAACATGTATTTTCACCCAAAAATGGCTTGCCCACCTGCTACTTATGACGTCTTATCTCGTAACCATAGCAACTGGCCGGCACTGAGCTTGTCTCAAAGTTTGCGCGAGGGATAAACAAACAGCTTCTGAAAACGTCAGTTTATCGTCTAGGAAAATACTCAGAAAAACGTTAGCGTGGGTGGCATCCACCACCCCCCACCCCCACCCCTTGTACGTCCGAGGGTTAAGATATTTACAGAATCACAAAGGGGGTAACTTATTTTTCTCCTTCTTTTTCTACATATCTAGCAATTAAGTTTGATATAGAAATTCTGAATATCAGAGTAACACGTACAGACCTGCCGAAATCGGCAAGTAACAACAGAAGTTTATTCGTCAAGCATTGTAGCTGAATTCTCACACATTTCCGGCTTTTTATAATCAATGCAGGAAGGTGACCTCTCAAGGGATACAGTTCAATTAGCTAGAGATCGAGAACATCGCATTGATGATCGATTAAGAAACATCAACGAACAGCTTTACATATACGTTACAGCCCCTCTTCAAGTACAAGAAGTAAAACAAGATCAACTAAAAACAACAGTAAAACTTGATCTACTAACAAAACTTAGCGAGCGGTTACAAGAGTTTTACACCGAGGCTCTAGGTACGGTTAAAGAGGCCTGTAAATGTAACGAAGACTTAAGGAAGGACTTCTATGACCTTGCCTACCACGGGCTCAGGGCCGAACACTATGAGCTGGTCCACAGAGTTAAGGATCTGGAATCTTCCCACGAGGAGATGTCTGAGGAGGAAAAGAAGGAGTTTGACAAGTTGCAATCATATCAGAGGGGCAGACAAAGCCAGGTCGACCAATTGGACAAACTGTGGAGATATCTCTTTACCCCGGTATGTATTTATGTTAACTAGCGTCCCAAATTAACGGTTTGACTTTAACTTTATTTTATTCAGCATTTATACTGTTAGGTACCGTTCAATTGAAAAAAAAAAAGGAAAGAACAAGACCGGTAGGCGGACACATGAACACCATAACAGTCTACCATTTTGTACGGCAAAGGTGCGGTTACTTTGACGCGTAGTAACTAAGCTAGGAGACACCTCTTTTGACTTGGTGTAGTAGAGCTCTGCGCAGGGGCAGAGGGTAAAACCTCTGACAAAAGTTAAAATTAATGCGGCATTTCTGTGTTAATAGAGCGAAAATATTGAATGATTTCGTAAGAACGAATTGTCTGGTCAAATTTTTCAGTCTGTCGAAAATTCAGTGTCCGCTGCCGTGTGAATATATATAGCCTCAATGTTTTCCCCGGTTTCCAGGTACTTTGCTAAAAACAACTCAGTTGCGTCTCGTCGTTTTGCAATTCACTTCTCGGCGTTGGGATTTGAAAATGAAATGATCAAACCGCCCGCGTCTCATGTTTTACAAGTTATTTCTGTCTCGGCAAAACTGGGATTGCGTAGATAGATCGAGTAATTAATGAATATATAGTATCCTAGGTATTACAACTTAATTTAGCCTTGAAACAACGCTAACTGATCCTTTAACTTGCAGCCTGGTCGCCGCCAGAAGACAGCAATGTCAGCAGATCCTGTGGGTCAGAACAAGCCAAGAGACAGTAAAAAGGTGGATAAAGATTATTTAAAGTTTAATTAGAAGAAAATTTGGACTATGTAACGAAATGATCAGTGTCCTTTGCTTTAAAATCCTTCATTTGCTGAATCCCTCCATGACCAATTCATTCGCATTCAATTATTCATTCATTCTTTCGTTCCTTCATTCTTTCATCTCCGCATCCATCCATCCATCCATCTACTCCTTCCTTCCTTTCTTCCTTCCTTTTCTCTTCCATGGTAGAGGAAAGGCTTTGTTTAGTTTGCAAATGTAACTGTATAGAAGACGACTTAAAGTTATAAAACACTTCTTTATGCATTGTGTAGAATACGATACGATGATATTGTATGATTCAGTTTCTGTTCATGTTTTAGACAATTTGTAGTAGTAGTGAATATAAATTTATTTATTGTAACTAGACCAATACCTCCCTTTGGACAGTAAGGCGCAATGAAAATATACAAGGTGTACTATACTACCATACTACTGTTCGTGCATTTATTCATTCATTTAATAAATCAATCATTCTTTCATTCATTTGATTGGCTTGGTAACCCAAAGATATCACCCGCTCTCGATCAGCGTTTGCAAGTGTGATTACCCCTAGATGTTAGGAGGAGAAAAAAAGAGATATAGAAAAATATTGTTGTTTTTCCCTTGACTCCCTGACATGAAAACGAATCTACACTTTTTAATGTCTGAAGAATGATTTTGTATACCTTCGCTACAGGTCACGAGATACACTGACCCTGGCGACATATGGAGAAAACTTAAACTGCGTGGAGAAGACACAAGACCTGCAGCACCCTCAACTTCCAGCGATGGCCAACCAGAAGAAGAGTCACGTTTGAATGTAAGTATTCCCTCATTTTTTTTTTCATTTTTCAGTACCTCACTCTTTCCCCCGTCATGTAAGGCGCATTTGATCATATTTACATTTCCATTTGCGCCAAAAGAGAAATAAATTATTGTTAATTACTATTATTATCATTTGCAGACCCCGCCTTCCTTTTATAATCTATTTTGAGGCCGTAGTTTCCTACAAAAAAGGTGTCTCCTTTTGATGTTGCTCAATGTTTTCGCGCATCAAGAATATCTGTGAGATTTAGTTTTCTAATGACGGTCAGTTTCCTTATACTTGCACTTTACGGCTCCTTTCCAAATTGCTGCACTAAGAAAAGGAGCATCGATGATTAGTCATCAACTTGTGTTCAATCCCATCGCCCAGAATGCCGCAATATATCTCGGAACATTGCAAGTTACAGTCCTGACCAACTCTACACAGTTCGACATGCGAGGCCTGCAAGTTAGGCCTTTTAATATTCCATGATAATTAAAACTTTCAAAATCGTTAAGTTTGACACTTGCAATGTATCAACCAATTTCGTTCATCGGCCTCGTCAACGGTCTTCATCATTTTTCCTTTGCCTCACAAGTTATGAGTCATGATCTTACCAGTGTTGATTCCATCAGCTTTTGCCCTGCCTGCAAATGAGGTTTACTTTCCATTAGGACATCATTTTACACTAACGCACAGTACGTCATGTGAACGTACTGATTTAACATCGACGATGTTCTGTCACTGAACGTCGTCACTATGGTGGTTTCTTGGCTCATCTTTGCCATTTGATGCTTATGTTTTGGTCTCCTGACTATGAGTGAAAGACCAAATCATTGCTTATATAGTGGGGGGAGGAGGGGAGTAGTTAACGACGTACTTTTCACGTATACCACTTATAATATTACCAAAAAGATTTTTTGTCACCTGTAGTTAACGACGTACTTTTCACGTATACCACTTATAATATTACCAAAAAGATTTTTTTTCACCTGCTATGGTGAAAAATTCACTTCTTGTCTTTTGTGTCAAATATTGCTCTCGGACTTTTGGAATTTCTGTACCAAACCTATAATATTAATGTCTTGATATTATCTTTCGGCCTAAATATCTGAGGCGGCGCAGTTACCACAGTTTTTTGTAAGTTTCAATAACCATGTTCAGATCACCTTTTCCTGCGTAGTCAATTCAAGAACTGTGCAAAATAGCTGTAAGAAATCCCTTGACTTTTCACAAAGCAATTAGCTCTAATCTGATAGGAGATAAAAGTTAACTGGATTGTATTATAAAAACTGACTGAATGTTTTTTTTTTTTTAGCTGAGGAAAATGAAGTCAACCGTCGGATCAGTCATTCAAACCATTTCTAAAAAGAAGGAGGGTGGCGAGAAACAGATGCGGGATTGCTAATTATTATTTTTACCAAGTAAAATGATAGTCTATGATGTTTCCGTTTTTAGGTCCCTTTATATTTAAACCCTCCCCCCGGGGGGGTACTCCTGGAAATTCTTGGTGGGGGTGTGCCGGTCAGTTCTCCAAATCCTGACCCTTTTTCAGACCAAAAGGTGACATTTTTCACACCCTTTTTTAGACCTGGCTGCAAAAATCCATACCCGTTTTACTGGCCTTTAAGAAATAATGTCATAATTACTTAGATTAGAACAGCAACCAAAAAAGATTTCTTCAAATCCACTTCGAATTCGCACTTTTCTCTTTCTTCCTTATTCATTTGGAATTGAAGCAATAAATACGTTTATAGTCACTACCGTAATTCCCTCGAAAACCATATCCGAATCTAGACTAAAATGGGCAAAGTCTATATCTGTTTTCAGACCAAAACGGCGCAAAAACCCTACTCTTTGGGGCGGCACATACCTGTATGGCTTATATAATGGAGTAACCCCTGGGGATTTTACCCGGTACAACATGCATATTAATTTTTGTAGAGAGGCGTTGGTATATCAAGAACCTAGAATTCTCGATTGCACTACAAACTTGTACAAAGTTACAACTTTTGACCCTCTTGCAGCGAACACTGTCTCTTTGTGTTAGAGTCTCGAAATGGGGTTCTGTTCACGCAAAACGAGGGGAACTCGCTGTTAGATTAAACAAATAGACCCGATTCCAATATATTAGACTGCTTATTACAGACCTGATTCCAATGTATCATACTTCTCATTATTTAGCTATTTTATTCTCTGTCCCTGGTCACCAGCAGTTTAATTCTCTATATTGGGTGAAATTCAAGCGGCGAATCCGCAATAACGAGGCCCGACGCCCTTAGACGGCTTTTTATTCTATCTTAGTGATTTCCAGAACAGACCTCTTGAGCTAGGGTAAGATACCCGTTTTTTTTATTATTTACTTACAAATATAGCGTGATCAAGAGGTCAGAAATCGGATGTGCAGTCCGTACGGACCTAGTCCCGCTTAGACCATTGGGGTGGTTTCTCAGTACGTACACCGCCTAAGTTCAAATTCCCGAGACCATGTTTGAAAATTACCGACTGGTACGCTTCGTGCGCCTATTTAGTACTTTTACTTGAACTATTATTTTTTTTTTATCTAATATTATTTGCTCAATTTTACTAGCCAGTGGCGGCCACGGTTTTGAGTATACGGTATCAAACATGACTTCAGGTAACGGTATGTTAGGTTTGCTTTAGGTTTGAACATGTGCTGAGAAACATTTGGGCTGAATTTCGGTTTTATTGACAAGCTTATTTAAGGTATTATTATTCCCACAGACCGACCTTGAATAGCTTGTTTTATAATCACTGTGCAGGGTATGAAAAAGGTTATTATTGTTATTATAGTTCGCTATCGCAAAAAAATGAGATTTATTTCAGAAATAAATGGTTTTATGCTGAATGTGACTTGATCATTGTTGTATTTCTCCAGCTACCAGCAAAGGAGGGTTTCCTGTCATCCGGGTGATTTGTCACGAAAGTGTCATTTATGTCACGGGTCATGTAAGTCACAGAAGTAAGGCACAAGGCCTCCTTCCTCGCATTACAAGACAGTGAGAAACATTTTTCGCTCCCTTCCCTCCCGTGAGCTTTATTTTACCCTAGGGAGTGGCTTGTGTGCCCTCACCTTTGCTGGGATAATGTTCTTGTGTATCGGGTTTTCCCAGTTTTATATGCTTTAATTTAAGAAAAAAAGGCCATTCCCGTGGCCAAAATATCCCATAATGGGTTTGTATTATTTTGTGTCCCAGCAAACAGAGCTCACCCAAAGCAAGACTCTACCAACATCAATAACTTTCGTAATATGTAAAGGAACATGAAGCATAAATGTAGAAAAACTAAGGAAAAGAGAGAACGCACCTTTTGAGTAAAATGTTCAGTGTTCCACTTTAAGAGGAAAGAGAAATAATTAAGTGCGTGTTGGTTAGTTAGTAGCATCAAAGAAAGTAATTATGCTAGCATGACTTGATATCTCAAGTTTGAGCCTTAACTACATCGCCATTACCAAAGATTACAAAATACCGGAAAGTCACCACAGTTGATGAAGATGAAAATTTGTCATGATCAGTATTTTCAGGGCTTTGGTTTGTAGCAGAGTGCTTTACAATCTCCCTGAATCGACTTCATTGAGTTTTACAGGCACATTTTTTTATAACTATATTCTAAAAAGAGTCGCTATATAACATTAGAGTTTCCATAGCAACGTTATGACGCTACTGCCTAGTTACTTTTAATGTTTTTTTTGGCAGTGGAAAATCTTTGAAGTAGCCACGTCGATGTCAGCCTGAGCCACAGAAGGAAACAAACTTCTTAGTTACGTCCGACTGCGGAACAGCGCCGAAATCCTTGTTCTGGGTCCCCGCCTGTGTACCAGGGTTTGAGCAAGCGCCATGATTGGCGTGATTGATTGATTTGCCAATCAGGTTGAAGGGAAAGTTGAAACGCATTGTTTCCGGTAATTCTTTATCCGTTGGGGGCCCAAAACAAAGATATCGGCGTTGCTTAGCAGACGCTACTAACAGGGGTTCACTTACTAATGATAACTGGCTAATATATGCGCAATGGCAACATGTTTAGTTGCCTTAAAAGCTATCAATGATCTTAAATACAGGGAAACAATGGGAAAGAGAGAAAATAATTTTTTTTCTGGTCGAATCAGCAGGTAATTTAATAGATATTAGTGACCTTTAGCATCAGGTTTTTCGTGGGAAACGGCAAACCGCAAACCGCAAAATGTCATGTGACCACGGCCTTGCGGTCACGTTTGCAGTTTGCAGTTCACGTTTGAACCGCAGGAAGGGCTTCCAGCGGTAAGTGATTTACGGCGGCCGTTGACAAAACCCGGATCGGATTGCTCGGATCGGATCGGATCGGATTACGGATTGGATCGGACTGGCAATTCGCCTTAAATTCCCGCCAAAAATGGTCACGTGACATCCCCCGGAATGAAGATGGCGGAGAGAAAAGTATGTATACAATCTTCTGTAACTAATTTAGTGTTTCTTTTCTTTTTTTTTATTGTAAAGTGATCTCGTTATTTTCTGAACCTACTTGAACGGTTTCCTTTTCAGAGGAGGCAATTGAAACGTCAAAAATGAAGAGCAAAGGTACGATATTAAAATTGTTTATTACAAATACTGTGAAACGAGATTCTTCGATTGTTCGCTTCTGTGTTTTCTGCAACATATCCGGCCCTTTAGGTGTCACTTGTACATCAGCAGAAATTAGCATGTGCATTTAAACACGTTTCCTTTCAAGGTTATTTGCTGCAGAAACGCACATAAATTCTACGTTCAACACAGCCCGGTCCACTACTAGCTACCGGTCCTTCGAGAACTGCTGCTGGCATGCATCTTCTTGTCGCTGATTTGTATTACAGACAGACACGGATTACATGTTTAGAAGTAAACTCATCTGAAAGCTGAAACCTCCATTTCGTGACTGAATAGAAGTTTACTAGATGAAAATGTCCGAGCCACCTGTGTCATTGTTAAAGCAGCTTTTGTCAAAATAATTCTTCTGCACCAAAAGTGAAGATACTAGTCCGATCCGAAATCCGATCCGAGCCGATCCGGAGTCCGATCCGATCCGATCCGAGCAATCCGATCCGGGTTTTGTTAACGGCCATTTACGGCAAGGTTTTTTGCTACAAAAAACTGTACAGCCTAGCGTTTAAAGGTATGAACTAGCTTTTTGTATCCGTTTGCGATGTGTTTGTTGGATTTTTGATCACGAATCAATGAATTATTGCTGATTTTTGGGCGATTAAAGTGATGAAAACAACATGGCGACCCTAAATAATGAACGCGTAGTTCAAATCACTTTTATATTCCTTTCTGTCGTACTAACAATGGAAAGTATTCTATTCCAATCCAGAGTTTAATTTTTTTTTCTATCTTGCTACTAAATTCATGACTTAACTCAGTCTCTGTTTGGTTCCTATTTTTAACGGATCACTCCGCGAATATCATTTTATTTTGCTTATTTCTTTTATACTCGGGAGCTCAGGCTTCATAAAGCCTTCTGGTTTCTTCTGGGCTCCCTTGCAACCTTACAATTCCTACATGTATTCTTGTATTGTATTGTATTTTGGCTAAATAAAAGTGAACTGAACTGAACTTAACTGAACGCCTTGCTAAAGTTTGAAATCTCGGCAACGCGAAACTGCAAACTTTTTTTACCAAATTAAAACATTGTAAATAAGTCCAGATGAAGGCGTGATTCAAAATTGATTAATATTTTTTTTTAGTTTTATCCCTCTGGATCTGGCTTAAGTAGTCTCAGCTGTGCGAATTTATTTGCGTCCAGCTTGTACTAGAAAGCGTGCAGTAAAACATTTTAGTTCCCAATTGTTCAAAAAGGTTGATAACGCTATCCACTGGTGAGAAGAAATCATTATCCAATGGATAACGCGGTTGGTTTCAAAAATACTTATCCGATGGAATAGAGCTGAAAGGCAAAAAAATGGTAAACGTCCGTATTTTGCGTCAGTAACAGGTAACAGTACTTAGACTAACGAATGTGAGGCCGGCGGTGCGTTCATTTTACCCCCTCTCTCCATCAGTGCTCCGTTTTACGTGTTATTTAAGCTAAACCGGAAGGAAGTCAAAACAAGCATTTGAGGTCACGCCTGAGAATCGAACTCGGAAACTCATGCACACACAGAAGGTGGCGCAACAACCTTTATTAGATGAAAGTAAGTACTCAAACCTCCTCAGGGGTAAAGTAGGACGCAAATAAGTATGAATTAAGCCTTTCGACGGGTGGGGTCATTTCCCTTCCACGTGGAACGAAGAAAATAAATAAATGCATTCATGTCTGAACCCATTTAGCTCTCAGTTTAAGCAAATTCAGGTAAAGGATAGATCTTTGCACAGATCAGGTAAATCATTTTGGAAATTCTGATCAGTCCTGCTAGAGCTACTCACAAAAATAACCATTAACTTGCTGTGATATAATCCACTGCCAATTTCGCTTTTCACCAACTACTCCTTCCAGGTTAAATTTTCCCCTTTACTGGAAAGAAAGACAGGAAAGTGCGCAAAAAAATAGATGGAAAAGAAAGGGCAAAGGAGACAAAGAGAACAAAACAGACAGATTGAAATAGAATTGCCGATTGGCATACGGCAAATTTTGACATATGAGAATCCGCCAAAAACAATAATCAATCACGCTTAACAGGATCCATTTAGCAGAAGATATGCCCTTTGTCTCAGTTTTAGCCATTTCCGTTCTAAATGGCGTAAAACGGTCAAAAAGGGATGGTTTGCTAAAAAACCCTCTTATTTTGCCATTGGCTGATCTTCGCCAAATGGTTACTGCGAGAGATACAGTTGGGAGGGCAAACAGTTTAAAATCTCTGGGGAATGGGTCGTTAAGCAACCTGCTAACAGAGAGAAACCGAGAGAAGCGCAGAGCATATGGTTCCCGGATGTCCATAACCTATGCATTGTATGTACTAAGAAGAATAGCGGGAGATGATTCTGTATTCGGGTCCATTAAGACCTCGTAAGACTGGTGCTAAATAGCTCTTGAATACGAAATCAATTTCCTGCATGTAAGTTTGCTTTGGATCTATTTATTTAATTAATTTGTAATTTTCGCTCATAGACAATAAAGTTAAGGCTATTCGCGTATATTGCAGATGGATCCGCCCAACCTATGGTCAATTAATTTTTTCATCTCGCACGTTTACCATATTGGTGTCCCAAAACAATGAAACGGCGGCCATGTTGGTGTCTTACATTTTAAATTCTCCACTAAACCTTCTTTTTTTGGTTTCGCGGGTAGCAGAGGCCTCATTTCCCTGGTATTCCCGCCCGATCATGACCAATACTAGGGAAAATAGGTCTCTGCTAGTAAGATGTCAGAAATAGCACCTTTATGGATATACGAAAAAGGCTCGAGTGACTACGCACATGGCCAACAGGATGGCGCAGAAGCAAGTGACCTTATGACAAGTACAACTTCTGACCATGTAGTCAATGGAGCCGTTTTCGTGCATCCATGAAAGCGCCATTTCTGATGTCGTCAGCTTTTTTAACAGTTTATTTTAAGAGGAATTAGGGTTGAGATCCCTTGAGGACTTTGTTTCATGTAAACTTCCGGGAGCGTCTTTTTATTGATCTTTAGCAGGCGCGCAAGGACGATTCAAGTGGTCAAACGTTGGAATAGACCTTTTTATAGCTTGCATGTTTTGTTTTCCCAATAAAGACTACATGATATTCTCCAGGGCCCAGGTTTGCTTCTCAAGCTCTCATATCTGAAATCAAATTTCGAACTAACTCTGGGTTAACTTAACCCTGGTGTGAACAACCCTTCCCAGGGAATTTGCCTTTTGTCCTTTCTTAGATTATGCATACATAATGCACATGAATAGCACGATATTCGAAAGAAACTGTTACCTGAGGTATCATCAATAGGTCTCAAATGGGAATTAAAACATTCAAGCCAAAAAGGTCTATTTGAGGCTGAGGCACGTTGCCCGGCAGCTCCCAGTCGACCAGTTGGCATTGAACATGCCGTTTATTCAGTCACCGTGTCAGCTTACCATGTCGGAACGTACGGCGTATCCAAAGACATGAAAACAACGCGTGACAGACAAACTAAAAATAATCAGAACAATAGAATTAGGGAAAAACTCCCGTGTAACCCTTGACCTCTCATGACAAGTGCAATAAGGAAATACACTGCATGTTTCACTTAAGAAGCGCGAACCCAACACGGAAACCTCTTCCAATATACTTAGTGGATTTATGGGGCTAAGTTAAAATCCATTGCCTCTATAGTCACCTCTTTACAAGACCAATCGTTTCACACAGTTGTAGAGCTAGAAGGGAGCACTTATACTGGAACTATCAGCGAAGGATAGAATTCCTATAGTCGATCCTGATATGGCCGGCTAAGCAAATTTGTGCAAGGTAATGACAACTACCTTTATTTTATTATTTCGTTTCCTCAGATAACCCGTTTCATGTTGGTGCCTTGCATTTGCACGAAATTAAAGATTAATGCTGATAACCGTATTAGTAAACGTTGCTTCCAGAGTTAGCTGGCCGACTTGAGGTAATTGTGTAACTGGTTTTGTGTACGTGCGTCCTTAGTTTTGACCACCGGGCAGGAATCCAAAATCCCCGCCATATTGGAACATATATCGAAGCAGTCAGCCAATAGAGTTTCAGTCATAAAACATGGGTAAGTACATAAATGTTTCTTTAATTTTCTGATATTTTTTTTTTTGATAACATGTAAAATATCGTTGTCATGCCATTGCAACTATTTCTAGTTATCATTTCCGGATGTAAGCGTGTCGGGCTGCGCCGGAGAATTTCTTCAACCTAAGAATACTTCCTCCAATTTTGCTCAAACCCCATGGGACAACTCAGGTCTCCAGTGTTACCTTTAAGGGAACATTACCGTACAGAAAAGCAATTACTCGAATCAAAATGCCGAATAACTGTGTTTTAGAGAATAAAGCTAGAAAACGATTACATGCCACTATGTTTGTCTTTTAGGTAACGGGTTGAGTTCAGGCTTAGTTACCTAAAACTAAAAATAACATTACATTTTGGGACAGTTTTTATAGTTAATGTTACGAACTCAGTCTTACGGTATTTGATTATTTAGTTTGTTGTTTTGTACTTTGACTTCCAGTCAAAAAAACTTGAGCCCGCACACTGTATTGTTAATGCAATTGTTAGCGCTATTTGCAAGAGCTTAAAGTACTCCGTCCTTATATATAGTTTATGGCCTTAGTTCTTTTATTCTCAATAATTCATTTGGTCCGCTCATCTTCGTGAATGACATTTCTGCCAATTTTACCAAAGTAGATTCCCGTCTGAGTGTTTAAATCCCTAAATGACGTCACAACATAGCTTGAAAGTTGCCGGCTTGAAAGCACTCGTCTGATCTGATTGTTTTCGCGTGCTCAAATATTTAAATATAGTTAATGAGGGAACCCTAACATAATGTTTATTCAAGCACCCGAATTAAGTGCTGCAGCTATCCTTAAAGGAGATCTTTAATGGGCTATGGCTTGGCTATGAAGCACTTCTTCTATTTCGTTTTTGATGCAAGTTTTTGCATTCTGAGCAATTTCTCTAGTTATCTTCTAATTCTTAGATATCGAGCAGCTTTTAGTGCTTAGATTGGCCTTTCATCCGTATTTCACAATATTTTTGTAGACAATTTATGAATTTCCTGTAAAAAAGGAGCCAAATCCTCTCCCCTGGGGCAGATCATGGACTCAAGATAAAAGTAGCTGGGCTGCTAGGTCAGCGGTTTTTAGAGAAAATTCAAAATGGTGGAGGAAGATTCACACTCGACTGACTTGAGTGTCTTGTCGGTGAAGGTCGTTCAGTAATTTTATTGACTCATTACATTTTTTGGTTGGTTAAGGACAGGTTGTTTAGCAACGCTGGTTACGCCGCAAAATCGCACAAAAATGCTTAGAAATCCTACTTTTGTTGTTCAATTTGCACATTTTAGCTTCAGACCAAGAAACGTTTTTGTTTTTTCGAGCAACTTTTGAGCAACTTTCGCCACAAAAATCAACTTTTGATTGTCCTTTGAGCAACTTTTTGAGAAATTACGGGAAACGTTTTGGAAAATCTCGAGCAACTTGTGGAAAGCCCTAAACTAAAACGATTACGGTGATTTCGAATTCAGCTTTTATAAAGGTAAATGTTACAAACTCATTCTTAAGGTCTTTGATTGTCTGTGTTCTCTCAGTGTACTTTGACTTCCTGTAAAACATATGCAAGAGCTATTTGCAAGAGCTTTAAGTACTCCATCTTTATAGTTATGTGAGACGTTAGTTCGTGATCTTCAAAAATTCATTTGGTAAACTTAATCTTCGTAAATGACAGTAGGCCATTGTATTGTATCCAAAATAGATTTCAAAATAGATTCCCATCTGAACCTGTGTACAGACGTGCCCCCTCCCTCACAAAAAATCGGGGAGGAAGGGGGGACGTCTGTACACAGGCTATTCCCATCTGAGTATTTAAATTTCTCGACTGACTTCATAACAAAACTAATGCACAGGATCTATGCTTGAACGCACTGATCTGATTTTTTTCGTGTGCTCAAAAATCTATATTTATGACTCCTTTTACTACTCATAATGTATTATTGTTAATTAAAAACATTTAGCCATTTCTGTTTGGTTTTAAATTCCTGGCTAGCTCTTCAAAACATGCTATGGCTTATAAAATCTAGAACGAAAACATCAAATTGTCCAATAACAGAAATAGTTATTGAACGAGCGATATCAGTGGCGCTCTCTTTGTTGAGTAAGCGTCAAAAGGGTTGGGAAATTTCTAAATGATTAACGAGGACGAGACAGCCAAATAACTGAGCTAAGCTAATCTAAAGACCTTGCAAGAATATATACACAAAGAAAGTTGCATGCCCACTGCCTCTTGAGGAATGTCTGCATAGAAACCCGGCTAAACTCACTCGTCCATGATCACATCATCTCAGTGACGGTGCTTCAGACTGAGAGGCAGCTGTATTCGTAGGCTGGTCACCAAGGGATTCGGATTGCAACATTTCAATTGCAAATTACTGGTTCCCATCAGACTCTGAATCCCCATGATGGGCGGGTGATGAGGCTTGATAGTAATATACATTACAAATTGCACTCTATTAGTGGTTTCTTGATTTAAGAGAAACCGTATGGCACCTGAAAGTTCCCGTCTAACTTGCCATCACTCACATGACTTGTCTGTACAGGTACCGAAAACGACTAAGTAACTTAATGAGGACGCTCGTCTTCAATAAAAACCATCGTTGCCTTGATCGCCTCGCCAAATCGGCCTTAACCGCAGGGCTCACTTAAATCGTCATCAAACTTATCCTTTTCCAACACAGTGTCGACTGGATACTTAAGTTGAATCTTATTTGAAATATATTATGAAACAGTACAAGCGTGAAATACAGTGATCTCATTGGTGTCAGGGCTCTTTGCCCATTAATGTCGAAACTCGTTGGGCACTAATGTTAACATGCCCTTTTTTCAAATATCCACGCCATACTTGGAGCATGGTGCTGGTTTCCTAGTACAGGTTCGCGACCTTGAACTCGGGCACTCCTTAAATGTATACGTGTGCTCGTTTCTGTTACCGGTTTTGGGGCTATCCATTGCTTTTTCCTCGCAGCTGAGCTCACTTTTAAAGTGACGTTTGACACTACACAATTTCATACTGGGTACCCAGGATACTCAGGCATTAGAAGTGGCAATATTTTATCAAGGGCAAAGCCTCTCGCAGGCTGTTATCCACCTCGGCATAACATTCTCCTCGATCTGCATAATTCTACACATCATACTTAGCCTCATTCTATAATTGTTATATATTTATTGTAACGGAAATACTTTTTGTACTGCGACTTAACGACTGTGTTTATAATTAGCTCACTGTTGTCTAAGGTTTGATTTGTATCGGTCCAATTTATTCACTCGACTCATGAAAAGCTCGTCGTCTATAACGGGCATAAGACATTCTGAAACGGGTAACATGACAGTGGCAGATCCAGGGGAGGGGCCTGGGGGGCCCGGGACCCCCTTATTTTCAGACCATACTGTGTCCCGAAGGGCCAAAAAAAATTCTGGAGACTGCTCCCCACCTTAACTCAGGGTCTGGATGACCGCCTCCCCCCCCCCCCCCCCCCCCTCCCCCTTATCTCAAGGTCTGGATCCGGTACTGATGATAGAACATGATAGAACATGAAAAGCCCCTTGGAGACGTTTTAATGCAAAGCATTCACTTTAGATCTAGATTTGGGATTAAAAATCCCCTGAGACCTGATCGAACCGGGTCGTTTTTATTTTGGATTCACTCATCTGCGTCCAAACGATAAAACAAATCCTGTACCAATAATTTCCGGATTTGAAATCACTTCTAGTATAAATGTAGCCTAAACTGTTTTAACAGTTTAAAACCCTTTGCGTCCTGAATACGTGCATATTATTTTTGTAACCTTTGGCTATAAATAGTCAAAAACGCGTAATTCTGCTGCGTCACATTTGCGCCATATGTTTGTCAAATGCGAGGAATGTCACGCAAGTTAACGGTCGGGATTCGTTTGGCGGTTTCATGGACTTGACTGTTGCAGCTTCATGGCTTTTTCGGAACCACTTTCCTCTGCAGAAGCGCCCATGCTGGCATTATAAAGCTGGAATGGGGGGGGCAATGAACGAATGGATGACGTAAGAAACCTGAGTTTGCCTGCCGAAGCAAATGCCGCAGGCTCAACCTCCATATGACAAGATGGTCATTGAGTATTGATGACGTAACTGACAGTTAAAAGGGTAGCTGGTGAAACACCGTGGTTACAGATGACTGCTCTCGACAAGGAAATGAATCTCTTGTGCATAGCGAAGCGATTTTAACAGCTCTCTTCGGGATGTATTAGGTTTGATGTCCTTTCCTACTTTTACTGAGACGAAATTGAAGGATCGGTCAATCATCGTTGTATATTGCCTTGAAAAACTTATCAAACTTGGGACAAGAAAAATTCCTTTACATTCAAAGTAACTACATGGCAATTTTTTCTTCCGCCGGTCGATATTCGAGTTCGTCTGTTCAAATTCTGCGGATATACAAGTGGCTGAAACAACGCTGAACTACTTATACATAAGATCATAGAACAACTTCGCATCAGCTTTTCTCAATCAAATAATTGCCTTTCTGACATAAAAGCGGCCTGCAGTTAACGCAATTTATTACATCGATCTTTAATCGACAGCAGAGCGAGCTCTAACTTCACTTAATCATACCAATTAAGGAAACCGAGGCTTCAAGCAAGACGCTGCAGACCATCCAATATGGGTAAGTTCTTGATTGTGCCTTTGTTTAATACTTCTTGGGTATAGAGCTAGAAAAATTATCGTATATTGCTTCTGCAAGCATTTCTCTCTACTATTTCCGGGTGAAGTGAGCCATGACCTTTCTGTGTTATTTCAGAGTATCAATGCTTTAGAAACTTCCCGTTCCAAAGAAGTGGCATGCGGATGAAAATATTTCTTGTATAGTTAAGAGTTGTAGAACTTAAGCATTGTAAAATCTTTTTCCGCTTGCTATGTTTGGTTATTTATTCTGTTTATTTAGAAGACTTCGATTTCGTTGTCCACAGATTGCAAGCGAGAATTACAATGTCATAAACTTTTCGGTTCATTTGCCCTTCAACAATGTTGCAATTTGAAGCTAATCCAATTTACTTGGATCACTTTTCTTTCAGTCTGGATTGTCTTGCATTGTCATGTTTCCGTCAAATATACCCCAAATAATCACACACACAAAAAAGGTTAAAATAATAGAGAAGAAGGGCATAATTTAAATGACAATTTATGTAAATTACAGAAAAATTAAAATATTCACGTTAATTACTGCAACAGGTCTCAGGTGTTTTCATATACTCGCAAGAGCCCACAATTCTATTGGGTTAACTGCTGAACACCCACTTAATCAGTTTCACTATCTACATTGAGCAGAAGAAACTATCGGGAAAATCTCTGCACGAATTTAAGTATAAAAAATCTTCTCCCGGAAAAGAATGCGCGAAAAAGCCCAAAGCGGATTCAAATTATTTTCGGTTCCCTGGCAATTTGATGTGCACATGACAGTATGTTTTGAACTTATAGGGGCAGGAGCACTTAAACTATAAAGTCAAAAGTCGTTGAAGAGAACTTTGGTTGCCACCTTAATTATTTTTACGTCAATGAATAACAACTTTGACGTCTCTTAATGCATTTAACACGAGGTGTATAGACAAAGGGTGAAAGGTGATTAAAAAATACATTGGAATTCCAGTTCACAAGAGGGATAACAATATCAAGAATTTTAACGATGCACAGAATCACAGCTTTGTGATATTTATGATAATAAACAAAACTAGCAGCCACCTCAATTCGCTTCTGCAATAGATACTATATCCGTTACAGATCATCCCGTCCAGCGGAGCCTGGATCCGAGCCATCAGCTGACAGAGAGTGATATCAATGAAAGTCAGCTCCCGGAGCAGATTGGCCTTAAATGGAAAGACCTTGCTAGAGAACTACGTTTCCGTCAGAGTATCATAAATATGATCGAAGAAGAAAAACGTCACATTACTAAGGAATGCTGCGTAGAATTTCTTGTACAGTGGATACATAACAAGGGAACAGAAGCTACAGTTGGAAAATTAAAAGAGGCTTTAGAAAGGATAAAACTCAAGGACGTGGCTGAAAATCTGATCAGCGGTAAGCAAGAGAGAGATACCGAAGTTTCTGTTTTTAAAATGAGTATCATGTCAGTCAGTTGGCAAACGGATTGCAGGCCAATTTCTTGCAAATTAAGCATTTTTTCCTACTGGTGTGATCTTTCTGCTTTGACTGCTTAGAAGTGTCATAGTTTCTCACGGCAGTTCAATCAGTTCCACCACAGCATCTAGACCCTTTTGTAACTGGGAGGTAATCTGGTAAGATATTCCACTTAGACTGGTCATGCTCAACATTCATTTTTGTCTGTTAATGATTTGTTTATACATGTAGTTCTATTTTTGAACAAGGGCGTTTTAATGCCCTCTGTAAATTATTTCCGATTTGTAGTAGTTGAGAGATCAAACTTCGATTTTATATTGGCCAACCTGAAACCTGGGTTGATTGATCTAATTCCAAATAATGCGAGTTCCATCAAAAAGACTAAATAGCCACTCTTTTGCATGCTTACAATCTGTTCACTTTGCTTTCCACGTTCGTCTTTGTCCACCAAAATGCTTCTTCTCAGCTCGCCTCATGTAAAGTATAACTCACGAAAGTCCAGATTTCTTGTCAGTGGAACTTGAAAGCCGGATTCCAATCGTTAACGGGATTCCGGTTTCTTTGTGCTGAATTACGGATTCCAAAGCCCAGAGTTCCAGATTCCACTTGCAAAATTTTTCCGGAATATGGAATCAGGATTACCATAATTCTGCGAGTAATTCAGCCGTATTCACAATACATACGAAGCAGCTGGGAGATTATCATTAATTAAATGCGTAGGATTTCAAATAGAATCGCATAATTGAATAAAATCTCGCATTCTGATTGGTTAACGAAGCGAGGTTTTTAGCGTGGAATTGCGAGTTGAAAACGAGGCTAAGTGATATTGTTTCGCACTTACATATACTTAACAACTATCGTCACATTGTAACACAACAACTGAAAAAAACGTTTTTCTACAATGTCATGTTAAATTAAAATGTTTTCAAAACCATTGTCACCTTTTGAAGAGCCAAAATCAAACAAAAGCGTTTTCAACGAAATGACAGTTCCGACAGTTGACTTTGAAATGGCTTTCTGGAGCGCGCGCTCAGGATAAAAACAAACAATATTATTGCTGTTTTTTCTTTTTTTTTTTTTTTTATTCAGTTTTGCGATTCAGGGAAAATCTATTACCTGACTCGTGAATTCCGTGTTAAATTGCACTTGAAAACAGGTATCTCGGTTTTCGCGTGCAATTTAGCGCGGAATAGACCTTAGGCAAACGCGTGAGAAATTACAGTGTTTGTATGAGAATCTAATCTCGAATAATTTGCGTAAAACGTCTGTTTTAAAAAAAAATATGATTTGTAAACTAAAGCTTCACTCTTAAGGATTCTGAAAAAATTTGAGGGCGTTACATGCGCTACACGACCTACAACCTTTTTTTTTAAATTTTCTATACATTTGTCTGTAAAAATTTCACGGGAAAAATTGCAGACAAATATATGGAAAATCTAAAGCAAGCTTCTGGAGAAATTTAAGCACAGTAACGGCCCCCAAAATTTGTTAGTAAAATCCTTTGCTGTGCAACTTTAGTTTACAATTCATATTTTTTTCCAGAACAGCAATTTTACGGAAATCCGCGACATTGCATTCTCATACAAACATTAGAATTTCGCACTCGTTGGGCTACTTGACAAGATGGCGTCGAAAACCGTGACAGGGTCTATTCATGAGTCAGGTAATGAATTTTCCTATAATATTCTGTATGCATGCTGCAAGTCATTTTTAGCAGCGATCTTGCTTTAATACCATTTATATTTTATCGGTGATTCCAAAAAATGGCACTTCTGTTCCCTAAACACTAAAAAATACCTTTGGATGCTACAGCATAAGGCAGCTCGCTTGCTTGACTTAACCACTGTGACTGTCACAGATATCGGCGAATGATCATGGTTCAGTTTAAAGTAACAATGTGAAGTGTTATTGACGACTCAATGTCATTCTCATTCTGATCAGGACTCGGCTGCTGCTGCTGTCAAAGATTAAGAACTGTGAATACTGAAGAATCAAACGCGCCATATCAGGTAGGTTATTGTCAATTCGATGGTGTTCTAGACTTGCTTTATAGAGGGAGCTCAAGAAAAGCGTTTTTAACTGATAGGTGAAGCAACCCCAGCAGCTTAAAAGGGACTTTTTGCTGGAATTTGTTGGTACAAGTTATCTTTCCCGCACAGTAGATCCGAGGGCTAAATGGCAAGAATAATATAATGACAGCCCACCACGGCGCCAGAGGGACCTGAAACTTACGATTCCTGCTTCTCCTTCTTTTTTTAGATCAACAGATGTGATAGGATGATTTGTGAACTGAGTGACAAACTAAGAGCCAGCTTAAAAGAGGTAAACAAAATTATATCGTATCCATGGGAAGAAGTAAGAGAGTGACCGGTCAAAGAGTATAACATGATGTTTCCGCTTTTCTTCCAGTTTAACAAATGAACTGACGCGATACATGTGAACTGATAGATGAAATAAGCGAGGAACTTCGATTTAGGCTGTGTCCACACGCATCCAGACTTTTTTGAAACTGCATATTTTTTATTCAAATTCGTTTGGAAGGGGCCTTAAACCGCTGTGGGGAGGGGTCTCAAAACAAAGTGGTTTTGGTGAGCGCATTCGTTGGTTTCGTGTGGACAGAAGGCCGATTCGCGTAAAAAGTGTGCAGTTTAAAAAATGTCAGGATTCGTGTGGACATGGCCTTACCTTACGGGAAGAGGAATAAATGTCGCTAATAGCAATTGATTAGTTATGTTGACAATTCATTTGCTGAATAGCAGATTCCCTACCAGTCCTTTTTCACTTAATGAAGGTTCGTTTTAGTTTCGTTTGTTTGTTTGTTTGTTTTGGTAGGTTTCAAAAGTGGAAGCCCAATTCAAAGCCCTAGAGTTAAAGCTTTCAAAAGAAAGGCAAATGCGCCAGGACAAAGAACAAGAGGTGGGTCAACTACTGTTTTATTCCTCTAGTCATACTAGATACTTCTTCAACCGTCCCCGAACACGGTTGAATGACTGTTTGACGTGTACTTTATCTTTGCTGATTCTTGGTCTTGCAGGTTTCACGACTGAGCACTAGAATTGCGGAATTAGAAGAAGAGTTTTCAATTGCCAATAAAAGGGCCATGATGAGAACGACACTGAACAACATGTGAGTCAACTGTCCGTTTGGTTTTAAAACAACTGCGCGCAAGGCTGCGGCACTTCTTGTTTTTATTTCTTCTTCTATTTGTGTGTCTGTCAAACTTCAATATGCATTTTACACTAAGTCGTACCTCAGAAATCTAATAAATAGGAAACGGGAAAAAGCAAAAAAATCCTCATGAGTCTACGTTGAGCTAAAACAAAACAACGAAAGCACTAAGGGGTTAACTTGGTTATTTCCTGTTACTTAATACACCTGCAGATTAGTTTATTGTTAAGAAGATGTAATATAAAGTTTCTGAATATCCGAGTTATATATACACAGACCCGTTGAAATATGGAATTAATAAGACATTGTTCCCTGAATTCTTACGCATTCAATTTTTCAATCAATTTTCAGCAAAGTGATCTCTCGACTGATTCAGACCAGTTAGAGCATCGCGTTGATGTTCGGTTAAGAAACATCAATGACCAGCTTCACACATACGTTACATCCCCCTTGCAAGTACAAGAAGTGAAACAAGATCAACTAAGAACAGCAGTAAAACTTGATCTGCTGACAAAACTTAGCGAGCGGTTACAAGAGCTTTACACGGAGGCTCTAGGTATGGTTAAAGAGGCCGGGAAATGTAGCGAAGATTTAAGGAAAGACTTCTATGACCTGGCCTACCACGGGCTCAGGGCGGAACATTATGAGCTGGTCCACAGAGTCAAGGATCTGGAATCTGCCCAGGAGGAGATGTCTGAGGAGGAAAATAAGGAATTTGACAAGCTGCAGTCATATCAGAGGGGCAGACAAAGCCAGGTCGACCAATTAGACAAACTGTGGAGATATCTCTTTACCCCGGTATGTATAATGTTATTAATAACTAACCTTCAAAATAACCAAATTAACGGTTTGACTTTTATTTTATTTTATTAAGCATTAATATTTTTAGGTCCTGTTAAAGAAAAAAAAACAAAAAAAGGACACTGGAAGACTGAAAGGCGGACACTTTTAATAACTTGTGATTGATTTGGCGTGATGGAAGCTTTTTCCAAAAGGCGAACAAATCTCAGAACACCACTGAGGATGGGTTGGGACGAATAAGAATTCGACTAATAATCTATTTTTCCTGGCCCTTAAAATCCACACTTTAATGCTTCAACAAGGCCTTAAAAATTGTGTTCTTTTTCAAGAACACAAATAATCTAAAGAACTTATTCCTGTCTTTAATAGAAAGGAATTCCACTTCCGAATCCGACTCCAATTCAGTAAAGTGAAGAGTACGGAAAAGTTTCGAGCGATATTCATTCCACAGAAAATTACCAACATTTACGTGCATGATTGCTGATTGTTTGCCAAAAAAGACTTCTTCTTTTTCTTTTTTCAGAACAGTTAAGGAACTGTTTTTCTTTTCAAGAACAAACCAAAAACTGGTATTGCTTAGGAGTCTCGAGCTAGATCGAACAATTAGTATCCTCCATATTACAACTTAGTGATTTAGCAATGAAACAGCTGTGACCGTAAATTCTCCGTTAACTTGCAGCCTGATCGCCGCCAGAAGACAGCAATGTCAGCAGATCCTGTGGGTCAGAACAAGCCAAGAGACAGTAAAAAGGTGGATAAAGATTACTTTAATTTAGTTTAATTCGAAAGAAATTTGGACAGGGCAGCAGAAGGAATAAAAAAAAATTGCACAGTCTAATGGTCATCCTTCACGTGCTTCACGATTCATTTATTCATTCCCATTGTTTGTTCGTTCGTTCCTTCATTCATTTCTTCATTCCTCCCTGCATCAATCCATTCACTCCTTCCTTCATTTCTTTCTTCCTTCCTTCCTTCATATATTTATATTCGTTCATTTATAATTAGTCAGCCACTCGTTCATCCACTCAATTCACTGGCCTCGCAACCTGAAGACACATAAAAGTTGTTGTTGTTGTTTTTCCGTTTTATCGAGTCCCTGACATGACAATGAGTCTAATTATTAATGCCTGAAGAATGACTTTGTATACGTTTGCAAGGCCACGAGATACACTGACCCTGGCGACGTATGGAGGAAATCTAAAGGGCGTGGAGAAGAAAGAGCATCTGAAACGCCTTCAACTTCCAACGATGGCAAACCAGTCGAAGAGTCACGTTTGAATGTAAATATTCCCTCATTTCATAATTTTTTAACACCTCTTCCCTTCTTCCCCCGTCTAGGGCAGACCACCCCTTCCTTTCATACTTTATTTGAGCCCAGAGTTTTCTAAATAGAAGGTTCCTCCAAGAGGCTTTTGACGATTTATCAGCAACTTGTGTTCAAAACTTGCATGTCAGACTTTGTAAGGTTGCTAGGCTGACAATTGCATCCGCAGTGACTGTAGCATCGAATTTCTGTTGTCTGAGGATCTCAGCATACTATTTGCTCCACACCTAGTTTTCAGGACTATTCAAAAATTTTGGCAACTCATCAGAAACTGTTTGTGAGCGACAATTTTTCTGATCGACATATGCGTGCAAGGGTAGAACAAATTAAGTCACGAAAGAAGTTCCAAAACTGAAATTTTCGTCATTTTTGTCTTTTTCCTCTGCATGCTCCTCATGCACAGGAGCCATCACCTGATGATAGTTTTCCCCAATGTTCACATGGTGTGAGTCGTGATCTTACAAGTATTGATTGCATAAGCTTTTGCACTGTCCGCAAACAGTAATATTGTTTCTATTAGCACATTACTTAGTCTTTTGGTTTGAGCTCTAGTCACTCGATGTTTTCTATGTTTCATATCACTGAATGTTCGATACAGTCCTCTAATAAGCGAACATTTATTAAGCTTGGTCACCCTCCTATTAAACGGTAACGTAACGAGATGTATCGTACTAGTGGTCTTTTACTTCCTTTCTTTTGGCGCAAGATGATCGGGTAGAAACATTTTCAGGTCAGCTTGTCGTGGGATACATCTACTTTCTTGGATAACTCAGGTTTTTCAAACCTGTATTACACTGTAAGGTCATTCATCTGAAATGGATCCTACACTGAATTTTTTTTTTCAAACTTTCACTACGTAAAATTTAGTACATATAAACTTCAGAAATCAAAAATGGGGGTCCCCTTGCTAACTATTAAGATATCAAGGATGCAAACACCCCCATCCTGAGGGTATTTTCGCCAATGTGCTTTCTCAATTTGCAAAGTCGAAAAAAAAGATTCAGACATGCAAGTAACATAAAAAAGGTAGATGTAGATGGCACTCTTAGATGTAGCAAGTTGGTGATCTTTCATGAGTTTCGCTGATCTCTTCAACAACCTCAAAATCTCTTCCCCCCTCCTTTTCTTTAAAACCTCTTCGCTGATATCTCTCGTCGTTTAATTTTTACTTAACCCTGCGGAAACAGCCTCGTTTGCTCTTGGCCGATCTCCGAAGGAAATGGCCGCCGTCTTGGGAATGTTGCAAATTACTCGCAATTAGGGTTGATGTCATGCGCAGTGCAAAACAGGAACATGATCTTAAGAGGTCGGTAAGCCGTTCCCGAAGGGTTGCCGCTTATCAAAGGTTTCACTTAATACTGCCGATTTTCGGTGTTGGTTTCTTGGTAGGCCTTGGTCACTGAATACTTGTGGCGGAGCTGTCCCGCGCGAAGCGCGCACAGCGAAGCACCATGGGTAAGAAAATTTGTAAACTATGCATCCAAGAAATTTTGGTTCTGAGAAAATCGTCCGTACGGAGTACGTCCGTACGTGAGTTCACCCCTTCATGTAAGCCGAAGTGAAATTTTGCATTTCAAGTACCCGCGCGTTTCGGCAGTAAAATCGCATAGCCATCCGGACTTTTAGAGATTAAAAACAACGACAACGAAGCCGATTCTTTCTTTCGACTTAATTTTAAAGTCTTCATTGGCGTGGATAATAGGAAAGAGCTAGAGCCAGAGATTAGAAATGCAAAGAAGACCAATTTCGTTGAAGAATAACATGAAAATTTTATAGTGGCTGTGAGAAAATGAGAAATGCTAGCGGCCACCAAAGTAAAAATGAGCGGCAGCAAAAAAAAAAGTGAAAAGGACCACATACAACATTTCCGCCATAAAACGTGTAACTGGGAAGTTTTTGGGAGTTTCACGTTGTCGTCGTGCAAAACAGCGGCAAAGAAATGTACAAAAAAGTGTGCTACAAGTGAAAAGTTTTTTTTTTGCTAATTAGACCTATTTTTTGTTTTTGTTTTGTTTTGTTTTTTTTTTGTTTTCATTGCCGTCGCCGTCGCCGTTTGGTTAGCATTACACGATTTTATATTTTGTTTCAGTAAACTATAGATATTAATGAGAGCTTCCCTTTTAGCTAAATCTATATATTATTTTGGTGTTCTGACTAGAGTGAAAGGTGGAGCATTGCTAATGCCCTAACCATTGAAATCTAAGGAAAAAGATAGGGGAGGGGGCGTTAACCACGCACTTTTTAGCCATAATTATATTAATAACACTACATAATTATTATATTTATGTCTTTCAAACTGCGCTGTCTCAGAGATATTTGAGCGAAGAGATAATATCAAAAAGTTTGAAAGACATGAATATATTGAAATAACCCATGGTCAGATTCTCTTTTCTTGTATAGCTAAGAGCTGAGCAAAACAGCTTTACCATTATCTCTAACTTGAGGGAGATAATCGTTACCTGGATACCTTGCTAAAAATTGACTGAATGTTTTATTTTTCTTTAGCTGAGGAAAATGAAGTCAACGGTCGACTCAGTCATTCAAACCTTTTCTAAAAAGAAGGACAGGGGCGAGAAACAGATGCGGGATTGCTGATTATTATTTGTACCAAGAAGAATGAGAATCTATAATGGTTCTGGTTTTCAGGTTCATTTTATTTAACTCGGTACAATATGCACATTTTTGTAGAGAGACATTTTTGTAACGTCAGTTAGTCGAGATATCAAGAAGCTAGACTTGTCGATTACATTACAAACTTGTACAAAGTTAGAAAGTTTCACCCGCCTGCAGCGAACATTCTCTCTTTGTGTTAAAGGCTCGAAATAGGGTTCCGTTTCCGCAAGAGGGAAACTCGCTATAAGAACCCAGATTTAACGTCACTTTGCTAGTACAAGAATAACAATTTCTTCGGATTTCATTAATTACTAAATTTTTCGAATTTTTAAAATATCCTTTATTCGCACTTGCAAAATTAGGAAAGGATGAATTTCTTTAATCTTGTGCGTTTAAGCTATTTTTTCTGCAAATTTTAGTACATAATAACGATAATAATCATAATCATAACTATAACAAAATTGTCAAATCTGATTGGCTATCAACTGCCCTGATTTCAGCCTTAATTGGACAGTTTAATAAGACAGTACGTGTCATGCCTAAGTAATTCGACAGTACGCGCTATCACGCGCGCGCTTAAATGGTTTTTTTTTTTCACTGCTAACAAAACAAAATTTTGAATTTCTTGTGTTTTGATTTAAAAAATAGCCTATTATATCACAAATTTTGTTAAAGTTATGATTAATTGGCAACAGAACTTCGTGTCGTCCAATTCGGTCTGTAATCATACTCGTGATTAAACAAATCGGACTATTTTGTTAATCACTCGTATGATTACAGACCGAATTGGACTCCACTCAGTCCTGTTACCATTACTTATTATTATTACAATGATAATAATAATAGCTTATTTATATGGGGCAATGCACCTGATACCAAGATTTGATATCATATCATATTAAAGTTGATCACATCCAGCAAGGCAACAATAGATTAAACAAATAGACCCGATTTCAATGTATTATTCTTATTACAGACCCGATTTCAATGCTTTAGACTTCTTATTATGTAGCTATTTCATCAGTTTTCGTCATCAGAGGCTTATATTAATTCTCTAAATCGGGTGAAATTCAAGCGGCGACTGATCCGCAGTAACGAGGCCCGGCGACCATAGACGACTTATAATTTCATCTTAGTGATTTACAGAACAGACCTGTTGAGTTAGGGTAAGATACCCGCTTTTTTTTTACTTATTTATATACAAGCGTAGCTTGGCCAAGTGGTCAGAAATCGGATGTGCCGTCCGTAAGGACCGAGTCCCGCTCAGACTACTCTTTTGTTCTCAGTACATACCGCTATTTCGACGAGAAAGGTTGTCAGAAAAAATGTGCAGTCGACAATCCCAAAAGGTGATATGGGATAAATATATCAATACGCTGTTCCTGACAGTGGCGCCATCGAACCTGCCTTAGCTTTTTTTTTGTTGCTTTCCTTTAACACTCGCAAACATACGTCCTTGACCTCTTGTGTCTTTCTTTCAAATTTCCTTGAAATGAAAACTCAAAACCACCCACAATACCTCTCCGGATTGTCGCGTACACTTTTTCCGACAACCTTCCTCGAAATAGCTATAAACCGACTGAGTTGAAATTCCCGACCATGCTTAAAAATGGCCGACTAGTTGGCCTCGTGCCGCTATTTAGCACTCTTAATTGCAGTATTTGTTCATGCTATTTGCACAGCCTTACTTATCAGGGTCAACAAGGGTATGGGTATATGTTGTGGTTCAATTTTATCATTGGTTTAAATTTTATTTTCCTTTGTTTTTGAGTATGGTAATGGATGATAATGAGTTTGAAACAAAGGAAAATAATATTTAAACCAAGGATAAAATTGAGCCACAGCGTACATATGTTAACAAAAAACTGGGGGAGAATTTCGGTTTATTGACTAGCCTATTTCAGGTATAATGGTAATACAGGCATATTTTTTTATACTTGTATACTTAAAGGAAGCGCTATGTAACATCAGAGTTTCCATAGCAACGTAAAGACGCCACTGTCTATTTTACTTTCGGTGGAAGAATTGATGCAGTAGCCCTGTCAATGTCAGCGTGCGCCACAGACGGAACCAAACTTCTGGTTACGTCCTGGTTAAGCCCCAGAATCCTCGGCCCCCGCCTGTGTACCAGGTTTTGAGTACGCGCACGCGCAATGATTGGCCTGTTAAAATGCCACTGTTGATTTGCCAGCAAGGTTGAAGGCAGCATTCTCTCCTGTAATTCGTTGTCCCGTTGGGAGCCCAAAACAAAGATAGCGGCGCTGCTTTGTTACTAGCCGGATTTGGATTACTTCTGCGAAGCAGGCTACGTTGATGCTTGACAACTGTGATTTTTACCAAATTAAAACACTGTAAATAAATTCACTAGAAGGCGTTATTTACAGCTGATTAATAAATTTTATGAGTTTTATCCCTTCTTTTCATCCCTCTGGATCTGGCTAAGTTAATCTCAGCTGTGTGAGTTTATTTGAGCACAACTTGTACTTGAAAGCGTGCAGTAAAAGTTTGAGTCTGAACTTTAGTTTTAGCTCCACGATTTGTTCAAAAGGCGCATAACGCTATCCACTGGTGAGAATAAATCATTATCCCGTGGATAACGCAATTGTTTTCAGCAATATTTACCCGATGGATAGCGAAAAAAGGCCCCAAAAAATGGCAAACGTCCGTATTTTGCATCAGTGACTCGTAACATTACTTAAACTGGCGATCCTGAGGCCGATGGTGCGCTCATTTTACCCTCTCTCTCCATCGGTGCCACGTTTTACGTGTTATTTAAGCTACACGGAAAGGAAAAAAGTCGAAACAAGGATTTGAGGTCACATCTGGGAATCGAACTAGGAGATTCTCGCACAGAAAGGCCGTACAGTAACCGACTACGCTAATCGTTGCTCCAACATTTAAACAAACTGGACTTCGCAATTCGGCTGTCTCAATAGCGACCTTTATTATCCATTCAAACTATTTCTCCGTTTCCGATTGGATAAAATCCCATGCATACAATTCATTATAGCCAGCAGCTATTGTAGACCAAATTTGGAAGAATTTTGGGATATGTGAACTGATGACGTCAATCGTGCAGGGAATCGCCAGATTATTGAACGGTTAACCGAGAAGACCTAGGGACGAAGTTGAGTTGTTTTGGTAGTGAATGCAAAATGGCGGAACATTTCACTCGTTTTACAAGGAATAAATAGCCGAACTATTGGCTAAAAACATAGAAAGAACTGCAAGGAGACAACTCGACGGATGACATTTGCTAATTGGAAAATATTTGCAGAACTGAAAAACCCTTTATCTCCTTAACTTGCCGGTAAAGCATGCACTATGGAAGATGAACTTAACATCGACGGAGGTAAGCATGTTTTAGCCTTTTTTTTTAAAACAAGAAATTATTTGGAATGAGTAATGAAACGATTATTAGATGATCACAGTAGCTATCAGACCTCTTCAGGGGTAACGCAGCACACAAGTACGTTTTACCGAGTGGGTCATTTTTGTTCCACAAGGAACAATCACGCTTGTTATGCGTTCATCTCTGAACGGCGCGTAACCTGTTTATCTTTAGAAGGATAGATCTTTATACACATGCAGGTATGCCGGTACCTCATTTTGGGATTTCTGATCAATCCTGCCAGAGTTACACACAAAACCGCCCAGCATTCTGGGAAAATCCACTGCCAATCGCTATTCACCAATGTACTCCTCCCACGATTCCACAGGGAAAAAAAGCGAAAAACTGATAAAAACGATAAATTGCACAACAAAACAAGATTAAAAATGAAAAGCAAAAGAAAATGGGACACCCGTTCCGTCAAGACCTTATTTTTGTAGAACTAATATTAAGCAGTTCAGTATCCTTTTTTGAGGACCAACAATCTGGAATTCTTTGCCAGTTACAATAACCAGCTGCTCCTCTTCCACATTTGTTTTTTAAAAAAATCTGAAAAATTATCTCATTGATAGTCCTTCTGTCACTTAAGTTTTATGTTCTCTGCACACTCTGCAATCAAGTAAGCCTTTGTGATATAGCTGAAGGAAGCCTATCAATATAGCTCCCAGCTTCTTTAGGCTTCCTTGTCACAACAACTATATTTTAATTAACACCTCTTGTAACGTTCTATTTTTATGTGATGCGAGTGACGAAAAAACAAATAAATGAATGAATGAATGAACTGTGCGCCTAAATTGTAAGTGTTATGCAACGTTGGCAGCAATAAATGAGTTAAAAATCATCATTTTTAGATCATTTATTTCACTTTTTTAGTTTATATTAAAACAATTATCCACCATCCACTTCAATGTCGGTTGCAACGCGGTGGCTTCGCGGCTTGGTAAATTATGCACCGCTAGGCCGTTTACACAGGATTTCACGTCTCAAAACAATACAATGATGGCCATGTTGTTGTCCCAAACCAATCCCTCTTGTATTGAAACTCTTTTGTTCCCTTAAATTTGCACAACTGACGGCGATCGACTCAGTAAGAGGTTTATTACTACAAGCGTGAGCTGTTAAATACAAATGCTGACGTAATCAGAAATGGCGCTTTCATGGAGGATGCACGAAAAGGCTCGAGTTACTAAATGACCAACAGGACGGGGGTGTGGTGGACGCGAGTTACCTAAGTACTACTTCAGACCTTGTAGTCACTTGAGCCTTTTTCGTGCATCCATGGCAACCTCGTTCCCAGGGTTCTCTTTCTTGCTTCAACCATGGTTGCAGCTGGTCACAAGGCTCCCAAAATCTAGGAGACAAAACTGAATACGGGAGGGGAACAAAAGTAAATAATTGTCGTTATGACAAGAGTTACTCTATGGGAGCCCGAAATGAGTTTGCCACCTCGTTTATTATCAGCTCATGGCGCGGGTTTTTGGAAATATCAACAACACCCGAAAAAATAGTATTACAAAAATGCAAGAAACAGAACCCTGGGAACCGGTTTTGCTATTCACTTGGTATATCGTGCACCGGCCGATTAATTTACCAAAGCGGAAAATAACACAATAATCTTGAAACTGCCGTCTGGGAGGTGCTTTATGTTATGTAAACCTGATTTTTGCATTAACTTTTCCTCTTCGCAATTCATGAATCTGCACGCACGTGTGGAGTATGCAAAATTACGAAAAACTAATTTTGCACTTGCAAATCGAGCAAGATTTTATATATCCTGTTGTCAGGACGGAGAGAAAATCTTTGTACAAGTACAAACGGTATAAGAAAAATAACCTGTTTTGCCTTCCAAATTAAGTGTTATCGTAACTAGCAGATAGCAACGCACTATTTTGAAGAGGGAATCTTCTCCCTACCCCAGATAGTATCTCATGTTCCTCCAGTCCACAAGATTTAGTGAAGGACCTATTAGAAGGCCTACCTCCGCCGCGCAAGTTATTGACACACATTTCCTCGTGACCAGTCGCAACCGGCGTTCTTTCTCGAAGCAAGGGAGAGAACCCTGGGAACGAGGTTGCATCCATGAAAGCACCATTTTTCTGATATAGTCAGGTCTCTTTCAACAAATTATTCGAAGAGTGTTGGAGTTGATATGCCTTGAGGACTTTGTTTCAAGCAAACTTCCGGGAGTATCTTTCAATTGATCTTTTGCTTGTGTGCAAGGACAAACTAAAATCAAATTGGTCGTCGGGATTAAAGGACTGACGCACGTTGCAACCAATTGTCATTTCGCCCTTTTCAGACCGTATTCAAAAGTTTGAAAACAAGACTGACGTGAGAATAGAATTACGGGAAAAATCCCATGTACCCTTGACCTTTCATGACAATAAGGAAACAGGAAACGAATGCATGTTTGACTTAAGCATATATAGAGCGGGCCTAAAAGGGTAGACATATTCTAGTGTTCTTAGCGGGTTTGTAGGGCTCTCTTCATTGCTTCCATAGTTGCCTCTTTTGCTCACAGTTGCAGAGCTAGAAGTGAACACTTATTTGGGAACTATCAGCCAACTGTAAGAATTCCTATAGTTGACTCTGATACGACCGGCTATGCAAATTCGTGCAAGGTAATGAAAACTACCTTTATCTAATTATTTCGTTTCTTCAGATTAAAAACCTTTCATGTGCACGAAATTAGCCATATTAGTAAACCTTGCTTCCAACTAGCCGACTTGAAGTGTTGTGTAACAGTTTCGTGTACGTGCTTCCTTAGCTTTGACGACCCAGCAGGAAACTAACATCTCCATATTGGAACGTAGAACGAAGCCGTCAGCCAATAGAGTTTCAGCCATAAAGCATGGGTAAGTAGCGAAAGTAGTTGAGTGTTGCTTTAATTTGGTGATATTTCTTTTTTGATATCATGCAGAACATCGTTTTCATGTCATCGCACCGATTTTCATTTTTAATTTCCGGGTGTAAGCCAGTACCCTTGAAAACGGAATGTGTCAGGCTGTCACTTGAGAATTTATTTAGCTTTGCAATTTTGTGTCCAAATTTGCTCTAACTGGGAAAACGCAAGCTTCCAGTATTTCGCTGAAGGGGATACTCCAGTTACAGCATAATAACCAACTACTCGATGCAAAATGCAGGCAGTTTTTTTTAAGAAAACAACTAGTGTTAGATTAGTATTATTTACATGCCTCTACGTTTGCCTCTTCGCAAATGGGTTTAGTTTAGATTCGGTCGGTTCTGACTAAATCGATTATATTTACAGTTCAGTTTTCATAGAGGTAAATGCTGCAAACTCCTTCTGGTGGTTTTGATTAATTTGGCTGTGCTGCACTTTGACTTCCTGTCTAAAAAAGTGTTTAACAAAATGCAACTGTTAACGCTATTTGCAGAAGATTTAAGTGCCCTATCCTTACAGTTTATGTCCTTAGTTCCTTTATCAGATTTTCAGTACTTCATTTGGTCTGCTTAATCTTCGTACAAATGGCATTTCGGCCAATTTTACTCAAAATGAATTCTCGTCTGAGAGTTTAAACCCTTAAATGACGGCATAACAAAACTGATTCACACCATCAGCTATGCTTGAAAGGACTTGCGAGAATGTTTTCGCGTGCTCAAATATTTTAATATAGATTAACCAGTGACCCTTAATGTAACTTAATAGTTTATTTTAGTACACTCTTTGAACTTCAGTTGTATAGAATTCAGGTCATCTCAACGAGTCGTATCCTCCTTTGGTATTTAACAATTATCCACTGGAGTGCATGAAGTGAATAATTTTTGACTACCATAAACACTGGGATATAAATATTTACTACATAGCTTAGGAACTTGGCCAATATCCAGACACCTTGACCTCGGGCTTGTCAATAACATATATTACTTTAGAATTCTGATGTTTAGAGTGATTTTACTTGACCCGTAAAACTGATACTAACAACTATTGGAAAAATAGCTACTTGAACAAAAGAAGACAATCTTGGAATTAGTGCATAATAGTTCGTAGTATTATATACCTATTTAACGGATTAAGTAAAATCACCCTAGGCCTTCCATATACTGAAATGTGCTTTGTTAATTAGTAGAACTATAATAAATATCACCTATATTGTGGCATTGACCAAGATTGTTTGGCCAAGATTTGACCAAGACTCTGGGTAACTTTTCTTGCTGAAACCTCGAAAGACTTGGAAATAATCCTCATAACTATCGTACTGAGTTTTACGAATCGTCTTTCACGCACTAGCCTTTATCTTAGCCTTAAGACAAGTTTCGTTTATTCAAACCTCTTCAGTTTGGCTAAAACTGTTATGTATTGTAACAGTTTTAGCCAAACTGAAGAGGTTTGAATAAACGAAACTTGTCTTAAGGCTAAGATAAAGGCTAGTGCGTGAAAGACGATTCGTAAAACTCAGTACGATAATTATGAGGATTATTGACCAAGACTGTTTAGCCGAAAACTTACCAGTGTTTAATATACGTGTACCGCAAAACCCCACGACTAAGAAACTAGATTTTCAAGTTCCAAGTTAGCCTAAACATTCAGGTTCTTATATGGTCTTATATACTGGTAGTTAGCGCAAGTTTAGGCTATTTAGATTCTTATTAAAATAACTTGTTATTTTCTGAAGAAAAAATACATTATAGCTAAAACTATTTACTTGTTTAGCTTATTCCCTATTCATAAAATCTGCATACCAAATTAGCATTCGAGTAAACGTAATTATAAATCGAAGAACATTATTTAATTTGTAATTATATTTGATTTAAACGCTGGCATTTACGTACAGTTGGAGTGATAAGGCACCTCTGTCTGTCTCCAAAAAAGGATTTTGAATGTTGACTTATCTTATTTGGCTAATTTTAGGTTACAGAACCTTTTCATAGTTTTAAAAACATAAGAACCTGTTTCAAATTTTAGGCTATAAACAGATTCTTATATAGAGGGGCCTTAACTGGCAAACGTTAGTCCGACAGGTTCTTAAAATTAGTGTTCTTAGTCGTGGGGGTTTCCTTACCTTACTGTATTACCAAAAACAAAATAATTTTTTAATCAATTAGCTTTATTTAGAGGATTTGTTGAGAGTGAGGGTTATTGTTTAATGAGGTGGATGATATACAGTAACATTATTTTGAATCCTTCACCGATGTCGCAATTTGAAGCTAATCCAGTTTACTTGGATCACTTTTCTTTCAGTCTGGATTGTCTTGCATTGCCATGTTTCTGTCAAATATACCCCAAATAATCACACACAATAAAAGGTTAAAATAATAGAGAAGAAGGGTATAACTTAAATGACAATTTATGTAAATTACAGGAAAATTAAAATATTCTCATTAATTACTGCAACAGGTCTCAGGTGTTTTCATATACTCGCATGAGCCCACAATTCTATTGGGTTAACTGCCGGGCACCCATTTAATCAGTTTCAGTATCTGCATTGAGCAGAAGAAACTATCGGGAAAATCTCTGCACAAATTTAAGTATAAAAAATCTTCTCCCTGAAAAGGATGCGCGAAAAAGCCCAAAGCGGATTCAAATTATTCTCTGTTCCCTGGCAATTTGATGTCCACATGACAGTATGTTTTGAAAATTATAGGGGCAGGAGCACTTAAACTACAGTCAAAAGTCGTTGAAGAGAACTTTGGTTGCCACCTTAATTATTTTTTCCGCCAATGAATAACAACTTTGAAGTCTCTTAATGCATTTAACACGAGGTGTATAGACAAAGGGTGAAAGGTGATTGAAAAATACGTTGGAATTCCACTTCACAAGAGGGATAACAATATCAAGAATTTTAACGATGCACAGAATCACAGCTTTGTGATTTTAATAAACTTTTTAATAAACAAAACTAGCAGCCACCTCAATTCGCTTCTGCAATAGATACTATATTCGTTACAGATCATCCCGTCCAGCGGAGCCTGGATCCGAGTCATCAGCTGACAGAGAGTGATATCAACGAAAGTCAGCTCCCGGAGCAGATTGGCCTTAAATGGAAAGACCTTGCTAGAGAACTAGGTTTTCGTCAGAGTACCATAAATATGATCGAAGAGGAAAAACGTCACATTACTAAGGAATGTTGCGTAGAATTTCTTGTACAGTGGATACATAACAAGGGAACAGAGGCTACAGTTGGAAAATTAAAAGAGGCTTTAGAAAGGATAAAACTCAAGGACGTGGCTGAAAATCTGATCAGCGGTAAGCAAGAGAGAGATACCGAAGTTTCTGTTTTTTAAATGAGTATCATGTCAGTTGGCAAACGGATTGCAGGCCAATTTCTTGCAAATTAAGCATTTTTTCCTACTGTTGTGATCTTTCTGCTTTGACTGCTTAGAAGTGTCATAGTATCTCAGTTCAATCAGTTCTACCACAGCCTCTGGACCCTTAGCTTTTGTAACTGGGAGGTAATCTGGTAAGATATTCCACTTAGACTGGTCATGCTCAACATTCATTTTTTTCTGTTAATGATTTGCTTATACATGTAGTTCTATTTTTGAACAAGGGCGTTTTAATGCCCTCTGTAGATTATTTCCGATTTGTAGTAGTTGAGAGATCAAACTTCGATTTTATATTGGCCAACCTGAAACCTGGGTTGATTGATCTAATTCCAAATAATGCGAGTTCCATCAAAAAGACTAAGTAGCCACTCTTTTGCATGCTTACAATCTGTTCACTTTGCTTTCCATGTTCGTCTTTGTCCAACAAAATGCTTCTTCTCAGCTCGCCTCATGTAAAATATAACTAATGAAACTCTTGAATTCTGGATTGCATGCTGTGAATTCCAGATTTCTTGTCAGAGGAACTTGAAAGCCGGATTCCAATCGTTAACGGGATTCCGGTTTTTTTGTGCTGAATTACGGATTCCAAAGCCCAGAGTTCCAGATTCCACTTGCAAAAATTTTCCGGAATACGGAATCAGGATTACCATAATTCTACGAGTAATTCAGCCTTATTCACAATACATACGAAGCAGCTGGGAGATTATCATTAATTAAATGCGTAGGATTTTAAATAGAATCGCATAATTGAATAAAATCTCGCATTCTGATTGGTTAACGAAGCAAGGTATTTAGCGTGGAATTGCGAGTTGAAAACGAGGCTAAGTGATATTGTGTCGCACTTACATATACTTATCACAACTATCGTCACATTGCGTGAGAAATTACAGTGCTTGTATGAGAATCTAATCTCGAATAATTTCCGTAAAACGTCTGTTTTGAAAAAAATATGATTTGTAAACTAAAGCTTCACTCTTAAGGATTCTACTGAAAAAAATTGGGGGCGTTACATGTGCTACAAGACCTATAACCTTTTTTTTTTTTAATTTTCTATACATTTGTCTGTAAAAATCCCGGGAAAAATTGCGGACAAATATATGGAAAATCTAAAGCAAGCTTCTGGAGAAATTTAAGCACGGCCCCCAAAATTTGTTAGTAAAATCTTTTGCTGTGCAACATTAGTTTACAATTCATATTTTTTTCCAGAACAGCCATTTTACGGAAATCCGCGACATTGCATTCTCATACAAACACTGTAATTTCGCACGCGTTTGGCTACTTGTCAAGATGGCGTCGAAAACCGTGACAGGGTCTATTCATGAGTCCGGTAATGAATTTTCTTATAATATTATGTATGCATGCTGCAAGTCATTTTTAGCAGCGATCTTGCTTTAATACCATTTATATTTTATCGGTGATTCCAAAAAATGGCACTTCTGTTCCCTAAACACTAAAAAATACCTTTGGATGTTACAGCATAAGGCAGCTCGCTTGCTTGACTTAATCATTGTGACTGTCACAGATATCGGCGAATGATCATGTTTCAGTTTAAAGTAACAATGTTATTGACGACTCAATGTCATTCTCATTCTGATCAGGACTCGGCTGCTGCTGTCAAAGATTAAAAACTGTGAATACTGAAGAATCAAACGCGCCATATCAGGTAGGTTATTGTCAATTCTATGGTGGTCTAGACTTGCTTTATAGAGGGAGCTCAAGAAAAGCGTTTTTAACTGATAGGTGAAGCAACGCCAGCAGCTTAAAAGGGACATTTTGCTGGAATTTGTTGGTACAAGTTATCTTTCCCGCACAGTACTAGATCCGCGGGCCAAATGGCAAGAATGACATAATTTACAGCCCACCACAGCGCCAGAGGGACCTGAAACTTACGATTCCTGCTTCTTCTTTTTTTAGATTAACAGATGTGATAGGATGATTTGTGAACTGAGTGACAAACTAAGAGCCAGCTTAAAAGAGGTAAACAAAATTATATCGTATCCATAGGAAGAAGTAAGAGAGTGACCGGCCAAAGAGTATAACATGATGTTTCCGCTTTTCTTCCAGTTTAACAAATGAAATGACGCGATACATGTGAACTGATAGATGAAATAAGCGAGGAACTTCGATTTAGGCTGTGTCCACACGCATCCAGACTTTTTTGAAACTGCATATTTTTTATTCAAATTCGTTTGGAAGGGGCCTTAAACCGCTCTGGGGAGCGGTCTCAAAACAATGTGGTTTTGGTGAGCGAATTCGTTGGTTTCGTGTGGACAGAAGGCCGATTCGTGTAAAAAGTGTGCAGTTTCAAAAATGTCAGGATTCGTGTGGACATAGCCTTACCTTACGGGAAGAGGAATAAATGTCACTAATAGCAATTGATTAGTTATGTTGGTAATTCATTTGCTGAATAGCAGATTCCTTACCAGTCCTTTTTCACTTAATGAAGGTTCGTTTTAGTTTCTTTTGTTTGTTTGTTTGTTTGTTTTGGTAGGTTTCAAAAGTGGAAGCCCAATTCAAAGCCCTAGAGTTAGAGCTTTCAAAAGAAAGGCAAATGCGCCAGGACAAAGAACAACAAGTGGGTCAACTACTGTTTTATTCCTCTAGTCATACCAGATACTTCTTCAACCGTCCCTGAACACGGTTGAATGACTGTTTGACGTGTACTTTATCTTTGCTGATTCTTGGTCTTGCAGGTTTCACGACTGAGCACTAGAATTGCGGAATTAGAAGAAGAGCTTTCAATTGCCAATCAAAAGGGCCATGATGAGAACGACACTGAACAACATGTGAGTCAACTGTCTGTTTCGTTTTAAAACAACTGCGCGCGAGGCTGGGCACTTCTTGTTTTTATTTCTTCTTCTATTTGTGTGTCTGTCAAACTTCAATATGCATTTTACACTAAGTTGTACCTCACAAATCCAATGAATAGGAAACGGGAAAAAACAAAAAAATCCTCACGAGTCTACGTTGAGCTAAAACAAAACAACGCAAACACTAAGGGGTTAACTTGGTTATTTCCTGTTACTTAATAGACCTGCAGATTAGTTTATTGTTAAGAAAATGTATTATAAAGTTTCTGAATATCCGGGTTATATATACACAGACCCGTTGAAATACGAAATTAACAAGACATTATTCCCTGAATTCTTACACATTCAATTTTTCAATCAATATTCAGCAAAGTGATCTCTCGACTGATTCAGACCAGTTAGAGCATCGCGTTGATGTTCAGTTAAGAAACATCAATGACCAGCTTCACACATACGTTACATCCCCCTTGCAAGTACAAGAAGTGAAACAAGATCAACTAAGAACAGCAGTAAAACTTGATCTGCTGACAAAACTTAGCGAGCGGTTACAGGAGCTTTACACGGAGACTCTAGGTATGGTTAAAGAGGCTAGTAAATGTAGCGAAGATTTAAGGAAAGACTTCTATGACCTTGCCTACCACGGGCTCAGGGCGGAACATTACGAGCTGGTCCACAGAGTCAAGGATCTGGAATCTGCCCAGGAGGAGATGTCTGAGGAGGAAAATAAGGAATTTGACAAGCTGCAATCATATCAGAGGGGCAGACAAAGCCAGGTCGACCAATTAGACAAACTGTGGAGATATCTCTTTACTCCGGTAGGTATAATGTTATTAATAACTAACCTTCAAAATAACCAAATTAACGGTTTGACTTTTATTTTATTTTATTAAGCATTAATATTTTTAGGTCCTGTTAAAGAAAAAAACAGCAACAAAAGGACACTGGAAGACTGGAAGGCGGACACTTTTAATAACTTGTGATTGATTTGGCGTGATGGAAGCTTTTTCCAAAAGGCGAACAAATCTCAGAACACCACTGAGGATGGGTTGAGTCGAATAAGAATTCGACTAATAATCTCTTTTTCCTGGCCCTTAAAATCCACACTTTAATGCTTCAACAAGGCCTTAACAATTGTGTTCTTTTTGAAGAACACAGATAATTTAAAGAATTTATTCCTGTCTTTAATAGAAAGGAATTCCACTTCCGAATCCGATTCCAATTCAGTAAAGTGAAGAATACGGAAAAGTTTCGAGCGATATTCATTCCACAGAAAATTACCGACATTTACGTGCATGATTGCTGATTGTTTGCCAAAAAAGACTTCTTCTTCTTCTTTTTTCAGAACAGTTAAGGAACTGTTTTTCTTTTCAAGAACAAACCAAAAACTGGTATTGCTTAGGAGTCTCGAGCTAGATCGAACAATTAGTATCCTCCATATTACAACTTAGTGATTTAGCAGTGAAACAGCTGTGACCGTAAATTCTCCGTTAACTTGCAGCCTGATCGCCGCCAGAAGACTGCAATGTCAGCGGATCCGGTGGGTCAGAACAAGCCAAGAGACAGTAAAAAGGTGGAGAAAGATTACTTTAATTTAGTTTAATTCGAAAGAAATTTGGACAGGGTAACAGAAGGAATAAAAAAAAATTGCACAGTATAATGGTCATCCTTCACGTGCTTCACGATTCATTTATTCATTCCATTGTTTGTTCGTTTGTTCGTTCATTCATTTCTTCATTCCTCCCTGCATCAATCCATTCACTCATTCCTTCATTTCTTTCTTCCTTCCTTCCTTCATATATTTATATTCATTCATTTATAATTAGTCAGCCACTCGTTCATTCATTCAATTCACTGGCCTCGCAACCTGAAGACACGTAAAAGTTGTTGTTGTTGTTTTTCTGTTTTATGGAGTCCCTGACATGACAATGATTCTAATAATTAATGTCTGAAGAATGACTTTGTATACGTTTGCAAGGCCACGAGATACACTGACCCTGGCGACGTATGGAGGAAACCTAAAGGGCGTGGAGAAGATAGAGGATCTGAAACGCCTTCAACTTCCAACGATAGCAAACCAGACGAAGAGTCACGTTTGAATGTAAGTATTCCCTCATTTCATAATTTTTTAGCACGTCTCCCCTCCTTCCCCCGTCTTGGGCAGACCACCCCTTCCTTTCATACTTTCTTTGAGCCCAGAGTTTTATAAATAGAAGGTTCCTCCAAGAGGCTTTTGACGATTTATCAGCAACTTGTGTTCAAAACTTGCATGTCAGACTTTGTAAGGTTGCTAGGCTGACAATTGCATGCGCAGTGACTGTATCATCGAATTTCTTTTGTCTGACGATCTCAGTATACTATTTGCTCCACTAACCTAGTTTTCAGGACTTTTCAAAAATTTTGGCAACTCATCAGAAACTGTTTGTGAGCGACAATTTTTCTGATCGACATATGCGTGCAAGGGGAGAAAAAATTAAGTCACGAAAGAGGTTCCAAAACTGAAATTTTCGTCATTTTTCGTCTTTTTCCTCTGCATGCTCCTCATGCACGAGAGCCATCACCTGATGATACTTTTCCCCCATGTTCACATGGTGTGAGTCGTGATCTTACAAGTATTGATTGCATAAGCTTTTGTACTGTCTGCAAACAGTAATGTTGTTTCTATTAGCACATTACTTAGTCTTTTGGTTTGAGCTCTAGTCACTCGATGTTTTCTATGTTTCATATCACTGAATATACAATACAGTCCTCTAATAAGCGAACATTTATTAAGCGCGGTCACCCTCCTATTAAACGGTAACGTAACGAGATGTATCGTACTAGTGGTCTTTTACTTCCTTTCTTTTGGCGCAAGATGATCGGGTAGAAACACTTTCAGGTCAACTTGTCGTGGGATATATCTACTTTCTTGGATAACTCAGGTTTTTCAAACCTGTATTACACTGTAAGGTCATTCATCAGAAATGGATCCTACACTGAATTTTTTTTCAAACTTTCACTACGTAAAATTTAGTACATATAAACTTCAGAAATCAAATAAAAAATGGGGGTCCCCTTGCTAACTATTAAGATATAAAGGATGCAAACACCCCCATCCTGAGGGTATTTTCGCCAACGTGCTTTCTCAAATTGCAGAGTCGAAAAAAAAGATTCAGACATGCAAGTAACATAAAAAAGGTAGATGTAGTAGCACTCTTAGATATAAGCAAGTTGGTGATCTTTCATGAGTTTCGCTGATCTCTTCAACAACCTCAAAATCTCTTCCCCCCTCCTTTTCTTTAAAACCTCTTCGCTGATATCTCTCGTCGTTTAATTTTTACTTCTTTAACCCTGCGGAAACAGCCTCGTTTGTCTCTTGGCCGATCTCCGAGGGAAATGGCCGCCATCTTGGAAATGTTGCAAATTACTCGCAATTAGGGTTGATGTCATGCGCAGTGCAAAACAGGGAACAGGGACTTTTAGAGATTAAAAACAACGACTACGAAGCCGATTCTTTCTTTCGACTTAATTTTAAAGTCTTCATTGGCGTGGATAACAGTGAAAGAGCTAGAGCCAGAGATAAAAAATGCAAGGAAGACCAATTTCGTTGAAGAATAGCATGAAAATTTTATAGTGGCTGTGAGAAAATGAGAAAATGAGAAATGCTAGCGGCCACCAAAGTAAAAATGAGCCGCAGCAAAAAAAAAGTGAACAGGACCACATACAATATTTCCGCCATAAAACGTGTAACTGGGAAGTTTTTGGGAGTTTCACGTTGTCGTCGTGCAAAACAGTGGTAAAGAAATGTACAAAAAAGTGTGCTACAAGTGAAAAGTTTTTTTTTTGCTAATTAGACCTATTTTTTGTTTTTGTTTTGTTTTGTTTTTCTTTTTTTGTTTTCATTGCCGTCGCCGTCGCCGCTTGGTTAGCATTACACGATTTTATATTTTGTTTCAGTAAACTATAGATATTAACGAGAGCTTCGCTTTTAGCCCTGGCTAAATCTATATATTATTTTGGTGTTCTGACTAGAATGAAAGGTGGAGCATTGCTAATGCCCTAACCAATGAAATCTAAGGAAAAAGATAGGGGAGGGGGCGTTAACCACGCACTTTTTAGCCATAATTATATTAATGACACTACATAATTATTATATTTATGTCTTTCAAACTGCGCTGTCTCAGAGATATTTGAGCGAAGAGATGATATAAAAAAGTTTGAAAGACATGAATATATTGAAATAACCCATGGTCAGATTCTCTTTTCTTGTATAGCTAAGAGCTGGGCAAAACAGCTTTACCATTATCTCTAACTTGAGGGAGATAATCGTTACCTGGATGCCTTTCTAAAAATTGACTGAATGTTTTATTTTTCTTTAGCTGAGGAAAATGAAGTCAACGGTCGACTCAGTCATTCAAACCTTTTCTAAAAAGAAGGACAGTGGCGAGAAACAGATGCGGGATTGCTGATTATTATTTGTACCGAGAAGAATGAGAATCTATAATGGTTCTGGTTTTCAGGTTCATTTTATTTAACTCGGTACAATATGCACATTTTTGTAGAGAGACATTTTTGTAACGTCAGTTAGTCGAGATATCAAGAAGCTAGACTTGTCGATTACATTACAAACTTGTACAAAGTTAGAAAGTTTCACCCGCTTGCAGCGAACATTCTCTCTTTGTGTTAAAGGCTCGAAATAGGGTTCCGTTTCCGCAAGAGGGAAACTCGCTATAAGAACCCAGATTTAACGTCACTTTGCTAGTACAAGAATAACAATTTCTTCGGATTTCATTAATTACTAAATTTTTCGAATTTTTAAAATATCCTTTATTCGCACTTGCAAAATTAGGAAAGGATGAATTTCTTTAATCTTGTGCGTTTAAGCTATTTTTTCTGCAAATTTTAGTACATAATAACGATAATAATCATAATCATAACTATAACAAAATTGTCAAATCTGATTGGCTATCAACTGCCCTGATTTCAGCCTTAATTAGACAGTTTAATAGGACAGTGCGCGTCATGCTTAAGTAATTCGACAGTACGCGCTATCACGCGCGCGCTTAAATGTTTTTTTTTTTTTTCACTGCTAACAAAACAAAATTTTGAATTTCTTGTGTTTTGATTTAAAAAATAGCCTATTATATCACAAATTTTGTTAAAGTTATGATTAATTGGCAACAGAACTTCGTGTCGTCCAATTCGGTCTGTAATCATACTCGTGATTAAACAAATCGGACTATTTTGTTAATCACTCGTATGATTACAGACCGAATTGGACTCCACTCAGTCCTGTTACCATTACTTATTATTATTACAATGATAATAATAATAGCTCATTTATATGGGGCAATGCACCTGATACCAAGATTTGATACCATATCATATTAAAGTTGATCACATCCAGCAAGGCAACAATAGATTAAACAAATAGACCCGATTCCAATGTATTATTCTTATTACAGACCCGATTTCAATGCTTTAGACTTCTTATTATGTAGCTATTTCATCAGTTTTCGTCATCAGAGGCTTATATTAATTCTCTAAATCGGGTGAAATTCAAGCGGCGACTGATCCGCAGTAACGAGGCCCGGCGACCATAGACGACTTATAATTTCATCTTAGTGATTTACAGAACAGACCTGTTGAGTTAGGGTAAGATACCCGCTTTTTTTTTTTTTTTTACTTATTCATATACAAGCGTAGCTTGGCCAAGTGGTCAGAAATCGGATGTGCCGTCCGTAAGGACCGAGTCCCGCTCAGACTACTCTTTTGTTCTCAGTACATACCGCTATTTCGACGAGAAAGGTTGTCAGAAAAAATGTGCAGTCGACAATCCCAAAAGGTGATATGGGATAAATATATCAATACGCTGTTCCTGACAGTGGCGCCATCGAACCTGCCTTAGCTTTTTTTTTGTTGCTTTCCTTTAACACTCGCAAACATACGTCCTTGACCTCTTGTGTCTTTCTTTCAAATTTCCTTGAAATAAAAACTCAAAACCACCCACAATACCTCTCCGGATTGTCGCGTACACTTTTTCCGACAACCTTCCACGAAATAGCTATAAACCGACTGAGTTGAAATTCCCGACCATGCTTAAAAATGGCCGACTGGTTGGCCTCGTGCCGCTATTTAGCACTCTTAATTGCAGTATTTGTTCATGCTATTTGCACAGCCTTACTTATCAGGGTCAACAAGGGTATGGGTATATGTTGTGGTTCAATTTTATCATTGGTTTAAATTTTATTTTCCTTTGTTTTTGGGTATGGTAATGGATGATAATGAGTTTGAAACAAAGGAAAATAATATTTAAACCAAGGATAAAATTGAGCCACAGCGTACACGTTATCTTCCAAATGATTTCGAGTAACAGTATATATACTACGTTTCCTTTATCCTTTAGGTTTGGACATATGTTAACAAAAAACTGGGGGAGAATTTCGGTTTATTGACTAGCCTATTTCTGGTATAATGGTAATACAGGCATATTTTTTTATACTTGTATACTTAAAGGAAGCGCTATGTAACATCAGAGTTTCCATAGCAACGTAAAGGCGCCACTGTCTATTTTACTTTCGGTGGAAGAATTGATGCAGTAGCCGTGTCGATGTCAGCCTGCGCCACAGACGGAACCAAACTTCTGGTTACGTCCTGGTTAAGCCCCAGAATCCTCGGCGCACACCTATGTACTAGGGTTTGAGTACGCTCACGCGCCATGATTGGCCTGTTAAAATGCCATTGTTGATTTACCAGCAAGGTTGAAGGCAGCATTCTCTCCTGTAATTCGTTGTCCCGTTGGGAGCCCAAAACAAAGATATCGGCGCTGCTTTGTTACTAGCCGGATTTGGATTACTTCTGCGAAGCAGGCTACGTTGATGCTTGACAACTGTGATTTTTACCAAATTAAAACACTGTAAATAAATTCACTAGAAGGCGTTATTTACAACTGATTAATAAATTTTATGAGTTTTATCCCTTCTCTTCATCCCTCTGGATCTGGCTAAGTTAATCTCAGCTGTGTGAGTTTATTTGAGCACAACTTGTACTTGAAAGCGTGCAGTAAAAGTTTGAGTCTGAACTTTAGTTTTACCTCCACGATTTGTTCAAAAGGCGGATAACGCTATCCACTGGTGAGAATAAATCATTATCCCATGGATAACGCAATTGTTTTCAGCAATATTTACCCGATGGATAGCGAAAAAAGGCCAAAAAAAATGGTAAACGTCCGTATTTTGCATCAGTGACTCGTAACATTACTTAAACTGGCGATCCTGAGGCCGATGGTGCGCTCATTTTATCCTCTCTCTCCATCGGTGCCACGTTTTACGTGTTATTTAAGCTACACGGAAAGGAAAAAAGTCGAAACAAGGATTTGAGGTCACATCTGGGAATCGAACTAGGAGATTCTCGCACAGAAAGGCCGTACAGTAACCGACTACGCTAATCGTTGCTCCAACATTTAAACAAACTGGACTTCGCAATTCGGCTGTCTCAATAGCGACCTTTATTATCCATTCAAACTATTTCTCCGTTTCCGATTGGATAAAATCCCATGCATACAATTCATTATAGCCAGCAGCTATTGTAGACCAAATTTGGAAGAATTTTGGGATATGTGAACTGATGACGTCAATCGTGCAGGAAATCGCCAATCGAAATCGGTTAACCGAGAAGACCTAGGGACGAAGTTGAGTTGTTTTGGTAGTGAACATTTCACTCGTTTCACAAGGAATAAATAGCCGAACTATTGGCTAAAAACATAGAAAGACCTGCAAGGAGACAACTCGACGGATGACATTTGCTAATTGGAAAATATTTGCAGAACTGAAAAACCCTTTATCTCCTTAACTTGCCGGTAAAGAATGCACTATGGAAGATGAACTTAACATCGACGGAGGTAAGCATGTTTTAGCCTTTTTTTTTTAAACAAGAAATTATTTGGAATGAGTAATGAAACGATTATTAGATGATCACAGTAGCTATCAGACCTCTTCAGGGGTAACGCAGCACACAAGTAAGTTTTAGCGAGTGGGTCATTTTTGTTTCACAAGGAACAATCACGCTTGTTATGCGTTCATCTCTGAACGGCTCATAACCTGTTTATCTTTAGAAGGATAGATCTTTATACACATGCAGGTATGCAGGTACCTCATTTTGGGATTTCTGATCAATCCTGCCGGAGTTACACACAAAACCGCCCAGCATTCTGGGAAAATCCACTGCCAATCGCTATTCACCAATGTACTCCTCCCACGATTCCACAGGGGAAAAAAGCAAAAAACTGATAAAAACGATAAACTAAATGAAAAATGAAAAGCAAAAGAAAATGGGACACCCGTTCCTTCAAGACCTTATTTTTGTAGAACTAATATTAAGCAGTTCAGTATCCTTTTTTGAGGACCAACAATCTGGAATTCTTTGCCAGTTACAATAACCAGCTGCTCCTCTTCCACATTTGTTTTTTTAAAAAATCTGAAAAATTATCTCATTGATAGTCCTTCTGTCACTTAAGTTTTATGTTCTCTGCACATTCTGCAATCAAGTAAGCCTTTGTGATATAGCTGAAGGAAGCCTATCAATATAGCTCTCAGCTTCTTTAGGCTTCCTTGTCACAACAACTATATTTTAATTAACACCTCTTGTAACGTTCTATTTTTATGTGATGCGAGTGACGAAAAAACAAATAAATGAATGAATGAATGAACGAACTGTGCGCCTAAATTGTAAGTGTTATGTAACGTTGGCAGCAATAAATGAGTTAAAAATCATCATTTTTGGCTCAATTATCTCACTATTTTAGTTTATACTAAAACAATTATCCACCATCCACCTCAGTGTCGGTTGCAACAGGGTGGCTTCGCGGCTCGGTAAATAATGCACCGCTAGGCCGTTTACACAGGATTTCACGTCTCAAAACAATACAACGATGGCCATGTTGTTGTCCCAAACCAATCCCTCTTGTATTGAAACTCTTTTGTTCCCATAAATTTCCACAACTGACGGCGATCGACTAAGTAAGAGGTTTATTACTACAAGCGTAAGCTGTTTAAATAAAAATGCTGACGTCATCAGAAATGGCGCTTTCATGGAGGATGCACGAAAAAGCTCGAGTTATTAAATGACCAACAGGACCGGCGCGTGGTGGACACGAGTTACCTAAGTACTACTTCAGACCTTGTAGTCACTTGAGCCTTTTTCGTGCATCCATGGCAACCTCGTTCCCAGGGTTCTCTCACTAGCTTCAACCCTGGTTGCAGCTGGTCACATGGCTCCCAAAATCTGGGAGCCAAAACTGAATACGGGAGGGGAACAAAAGTAAATAATTGTCGCTATGACAAGAGTTACTCTATGGGAGCCCGAAATGAGTTTGCCACCTCGTTTATTATCGGCTGATGACGCGAGTTTTTGGAAATATCAACAATACCCTAAAAACAGTATTACAAAAATGCAAGAGACAGAACCCTGGGAACGGGTTTTGCTATTCACTTGGTATATCGTGCACCGGCCGATTAATTTACCAAAGCGGAAAATAACATAATAATCTTGAAACTGCCGTCTGGGTGGTGCTTTATGTTATGTAAACCTGAGTTTTGCATTAACTTTTCCTCTTCGCAATTCATGAATCTGCACGCACGTGTGGAGTATGCCACCTTACCAAAAACTAATTTTGCACTTTCAAATCGAGCAAGATTTTATATATCCTGTTGGCAGGACGGTGAGAAAATCTTCGTACAAGTACAAACGCTATAAAAAAAATAACCTGTTTTGCCTTCCAAATTAAGTGTTATCGTAACTAGCAGAAAGCAACGCACTATTTTGAAGAGGGAATCTTTTCCCTACCCCAGATAGTATCTCATGATCCTCCAGTCCACAAGATTTAGTGAAGGACCTATTAGAAGACCTACCTCCGCCGCGCAATTTATTGACACACATTTCCTCGTGACCAGTCGCAACCAAAGTTTTTTCTCGAAGCAAGAGAGAGAACCCTGGGAACGAGTTTTTCCATGAAAGCACGATTTCTGATATAGTCAGGTCTCTTTCAACAAATTATTCTAAGAGTGCTGGAGTTGATATGCCTTGAGGACTTTGTTTCAAGTAAACTTCCGGGAGTATCTGTCTATTGATCTTTTGCTTGTGTGCAAGGACAAACTAAAATCAAATTGGTCGTCGGGATTAAAGGACTGACGCGCGTTGCCCGGCCGCTCTCGGTCAAGTCATTTCGCCCTTTTCAGAACGTATTCAAGAGCTTGAAAACAAGACTCATGTGACTGGCAAACTAAAAATAATCAAAGCAATAGATTAACGGGAAAAACCCCATGTACCCTTGACCTCTCATGACAATAAGGAAACCAATGCATGTTTGACTTAAGCATAGAGCGGGCCTAAAAGGGTAGACATATTCTAGTGTACTTAGCGGGTTTGTAGGGCTCTCTTCATTGCTTCCATAGTTGCCTCTTTTGCTCACCGTTGCAGAGCTAGAAGTGAACACTTACACGGGAACTATCAGCCAGCTGTAAGAATTCCTATAGTTGACTCTGATACGACAGGCTATGCAAATTTGTGCAAGGTAATGAAAACTGCCTTTATCTAATTATTTCGCTTCTTCAGATTATCCGTTTCATGTTGGTGCCTTACATGTGTACGTAATTAGCCATATTAGTAGACCTTGCTTCCAACTAGCCGACTTGAAGTGTTGTGTAACAGTTTCGTGTACGTGCTTCCTTAGCTTTGACGACCCAGCAGGAAACTAACATCTCCATATTGGAAAGCAGAACGAAGCCGTTAGCCAATAGAGTTTCAGCCATAAAGCATGGGTAAGTAGCGTGAGTAGTTGAACGTTCCTTTAATTTGGTGATATTTCTTTTTTGATATCGTGCAGAACATCGTTTTCATGTCATCGATCGCTCCGATTTTCATTTTTAATTTCCGGGTGTAAGCCAGTACCCTTGAAAACGGAATGTGTCAGGCTGTCACTTGAGAATTTATTTAGCTTTGCAATTTTGTGTCAAAATTTGCTTTAAATGGGACAACTCAAGCCTCTAGTATTTCGCTGAAGGGGACACTCTAGTTACAGCATAATAACCAACTACTCGATGCAAAATGCAGGCAGATTTTTTTTAGAAAACAACTAGTGTTAGATTAGTATTATTTTTATTTACATGCCTCTACGTTGGGCCTCTTCGCAAATGGGTTGAGTTTAGATCAGGTCGGTTCTGGCTAAAACGATTATATTTACAGTTCAGGTTTCATGGAGGTAAATGCTGCAAACTTCTTCTGGTGGTTTTGATTGGCTGTGCTGCACTTTGACTTCCTGTCTAAAAAAGTGTTTAACAAAATGCAACTGTTAACGCTATTTGCAAAAGTTTAAGTGCCCTATCCTTATAGTTTATGTCCTTAGTTCCTTTATCAGATTTTCAGTAATTCATTTGGTCTGCTCAATCTTCGTATAAATGGCATTTCGGCCAATTTTACTCAAAATAAATTCCCGTCTGAGTGTTTAAACCCCTAAATTACGACATAACAAAACTAATTCACACCATTAGCTATGCTTGAGAAAGCACTTGCGAGAATGTTTTCGCTTGCTCAAATATTTTAATGTAGATTAATCAGTGACCCTTAATATAACTTAACAGTTTATTTAAGTACACTCTTTGAACTTCAGTTGTATGGAATTCAGGTCATCTTAACTAATCATATCCTTCTTTGATATTTAACAAGTATCCACTAGAGTGCATGAAGTGAATAATTTTTGAGTACCATAAACACTGGGATATAAATATTTACTACATAGCTCAGGAACTTGGCCAATATCCAGACACCTTTACCTCGGGTTTGCCAATAACATATATTACTTTAGAATAACAATGTTTAGAGTAATTTTACTTGACTCGTAAAACTGATACTAACAACTTACCCAAAATAGCTACTTGAACAAAAGAAGACAAGGGAATTAGTGCATAATAGTTCGTAGTACTATATACCTATTTCACGGGTTAAGTAAAATCACTCTAGGCCTTCCATATACTGAAATGTGCTTTGTTAATTATTAGAACTATAATAAATATCACCTATATTGTGGCATTGACCAAGATTGTTTGGCCAAGATTTGACCAAGATTTGACCAAGATTGTTTAGCCGTGTTTAATATAGTCGTGTACCGCAAAACCCCACGACTAACAAACTAGATTTTCAAGTTCCAAGTTAGCCTAAACAGTCAGGTTCTTATATGGTCTTATATACTGGTAGTTTGCGCAAGTTTAGGCTATTTAGATTCTTATTAAAATAACTTGTTATTTTCTGAAGAAAAAAATACATTATAGCTAAGACCTTTTACTTGTTTAGCTTATTCCTTATCCATAAAATCTGCATACCAAATTAGCATTAGAGTGAAAATAAACATAAAAAGAAGAACAGTATTTAATTTGTAATTATATTTGATTTAAACGCTGGCATTTACGTACAGTTGGAGTGATAAGGCACCTCTGTCTGTCTCCAAAAAAGGATTTTGAATGTTGACTTATCTTATTTGGCTAATTTAGTTTACAGAACCTTTTCATAGTTTTAAAAACATAAGAACCTGTTTCAAATTTTAGGCTATAAACAAATTCCTATATCGAGGGGCCTTAACTGGCAAACGTTAGTCCGACAGGTTCTTAAAATTAGTGTTCTTAGTCGTGGGGGTTTCCTTACCATACTGTATTACCAAACACAAAATAATTTTTTTATCAATTATTTTTAGAGGATTTGTTGAGAGTGAGGGTTATTGTTTTAATGAGGTGGGTGGTATACAGTAACATTATTTTGACAATTAATAGATTGAAATACTCAAAAAGGCGCACTTAGCTGAGAGCTAATAGTTCGGTATCGTTTCATTTTCAGCCAATTCACCCCTACTAGGCTTGAGTCCGAATCATAAGATGAGTGAGTCTGACATACACGATTATAAGTTTCCCCACCGCATTGGTGTTAAATGGAAAGACCTTGCGCGAGCCCTTGGGTACTTTGAACTACGCATTGACGCAATTGAAGAGGAAAAATGCCACTGTCCAAAGGAATGCTGTATAAAGGTTCTTGTGCTATGGATGAATCGGGAGGGAGACGAAGCTACTGCTGCAAGATTAGCTGATGCTTTAAGGAGAGTAGGACTTAAAAACCTCGCTGACATTTTGATATACCCAATCGATCCAAGCCAGGTAAGTATGCTTCTAAGTCAACTTGCAGTAATCGACTACTAATAAATCTAAACGAATCAGAGAAGAGCTATTATTTTCGTCTTGTATAGACAAATAAAAACCTTAAAACAAACAACGTGGCCGATTAAAGGTCATTGTCGTTTAAGTTAGCGATTACTTCTACTGCACCTTTATATAGTCGATGACGTCATTCCACTTGAACTACAGCAATGCTTCAGGGGTTTGTTTTCGAATTTCCTGATTGTTGTTTTAAGGGATTACAAAATTTGAACTAGACGAGCAAACATTAACTCTGGAGTCCAGGTTGTAGTCAAAACCGTTAACTGATCTTTGTAGCACCGTTCATATAATTCTTGAGGTAGATTTGGTGTTTTGTCATACTACTTTTATTAGCTCATATAAAAAGCTCCATTTGTTCCAAAATTCAGCTAGGATCATTACACTTTTGCTCCCAAAAAGAGGAACAATATTAAAAAACTTAGGAATGAAGTCAACTTTTTTCGGGAAATAAATCGGACAACTATCGTTATAAATCGGCATTCGTTTGACAAAAAGGATATTTTGCTATGTTATATATTATCTGGTGTACAGTATTATGTACTCAAGATCTGCGACCAACTGCATTATATTCAACAATTGCAAGTCATTTGCTAAAAACGAAGTATGTCGTATAGCTACAATTTTTACGTTTCATATAATTTTTGTTGTTGTTTATTTTAGATCAACGTATTTGAGATGGAGATTCGTGAGATGAAAAGTCAGTTGGTCAGCTTGGAAGCAAAGGTAGATAATGTACGAAAACATCATAGTTGTGCTTATAAAGGAATACTTGTTATCGGCACGCTAACCTTCGCTTCTTTTTGACAAAATAGGGTTCCATAATGAGCGCCAGGATTAAAAAACTAGAAGAAGAGGTAAGGTTGCACAATGTCAATGTTGGTTTATTATGAACCACGCATGCACACTTAATCATAGTTGCCTCTTGTTTTTGACACGCTAACCTTCGCTTCATTTTGACAAAATAGGATTGCATAATGAGCGCCAGGATTGAAGAACTGGAAGAAGAGGTAAGGTTGTACAATGTCAATTTTGGGTTTATTCTGAACCACGCATGCACACTTTATCATAGTTGCCTCTTTCCGATAGCAGAAGGGTATAAAAGGGAGTACGTTTTAGGCAAGTTGTGAGAGAAATATTATTTCTCTTAACAACATTTTATATTCCCATTTTTATATTTCTTTACGTGATGTACATAAAATTACCTGCCGCTGTTTTCTTGGATCTGATCAACACAGAGTATTCGAGAACAAGAGAAATAAAAGATTCTTGTCGTGGAGGAATTAGTTCATTTTCCAAGTTCACAACTTTACTTCAGCCCCACTCTGACTTCGTACTTGTTCCATTTTTGTTAGCTGAAGGTTTTTTTTGAAAGTTAGAGATTAAGGATGGATAACTCACATAAATTACCAGAACAGATTATTGAAGAAAATACTCATTTAAATTTGTCATGTTTTTGTTTTGTAAGATAACAGAACCAGCAATTGCGTGCCACAGTAGAATTTAAAAATAGAGGAGAACGTGAATAGCAGGTTAGCCAGGCATGCATGAAAGCATGCACCCAGCTAATTGTGATATAGTTTGCCGTGTAATGTTTAGTCAAACAAGAATCTTTTTTTCCCTTTTCCTTTACAGGTTGAGCAGGTTTTGAGAACGGGCAACAAATCTGAAGAGTTAGAAGAACAGCTTAGAAAGAGGAAGAAGTAAGTCAGCAATTATTGCCGTGTAATGATTGTAAACCTGTAGTGCGTCTCAGGCCCTGTTCATATGGGGACTAAGTTGTCCCGGAAAGAGGATCACACCCTCCAAGCCGACTGAATTTTAGTGAACGTTCATATGAGAAAAACGTTTACCCACTTGCCCGAGCCAAGAGCGCTTGTACATGCTCTGATAGTCTCACCTTGATAGAGTTCACCGGATTGGAAGAGCCAAAGTTAGGTTAGCCTACCATCGGAAAAGCGATTCACCAAATAAGTTTTGAAAGGAAATTGGGGAACTGTTTGACTCGCGCCCAGGGTAGTTCTGGTAGGTGAGTGATCCTTGAACCCGGGTTCAGTTTACCCCACACAAACGTGGCCTAATAAATGTTTAGTGTAAGGTATTAGAATTATAGACTTATAACAACTGCGTAACTTAACCATTACCCCGAACACGGTTGAATGACTTTCGTTGCTTCTTGGTCTTGCAGGTTTCACAGCTGATCACTAGAATTAAGGGATCAGAAGACGAGCTTTCTATTGCCAAGCAAAAGGGCCATGATGAGATAAACGAACAACAGGTGAGGAAACAATCTATTAAAAAAACAGCTTCGCGAAACGCTGCGGCACTTTTCATGTGAAACGAACTCTGGAAAATGTTATTAGTACTTCTGTTTTGTTGCGCTCATTTTTAGGTAAATCAGACCTAAAGAAACCACTAATAATAAACGGGTAATAGAAATAGAATCCTCGCGGCCCTTTTGCATGGACCTTAAAGAAGATTACAGAAGCACAAATTAAGCATCTCAGTTTCCCAATTCTTACAAATTTCTGCTTTTAATCAATGCAGGAAGGTGATCCCTCTACGGATTCAGTTCAATTAGCTTAAGATCGAGAGCATCGTATGGAAGTTCGATTAAGAAACATCAACGAACAGCTTCACATATACGTTACATCCCCTCTTCAAGTACAAGAAGTAAAACAAGATCAAGTAAGAACAGCTGTAAAACTTGATCTACTGACAAAACTTAGCTAGCGGTTACAAGAGCTTTACACGGAGGCTTTAGGAATGGTTAAAGAGGCCGGTAAATGTAGCGAAGGCTTAAGGAAAGACTTCTATGACCTTGCCTACCACGGGCTCAGGGCCGAACACTATGAGCTGGTCCACAGAGTCAAGGATCTGGAATCTGCCCAGGAGGAGATGTCTGAGGAGGAAAACAAGGAATTTGACAAGCTGCAATCATATCAGAGGGGCAGACAAAGCCAGGTCGACCAATTGGACAAACTGTGGAGATATTTCTTTACCCCGGTAGGTACTTATATTACTGGCTAACGTTCCAAATTGATGGTTTTACTTTAACTTTATTTTAGTCAGCATTTATACTGTTAGGTACTGTTCAATTAAAAAAAGGAAAGAACAAGTCCGGTAGGCGGACACTTGAACGCCATAACCGTCTACCACTTTGTACGGCAAAGGTGCGATTACTTGGATGGGTAGTAACTAAGATACGCGACGCCTCCTTGATTTGCTGTAGTAGCGCTCTGCGCATGGGCAGAGGGTAAAGCCTCCGACAAAAGTTAAAATTAATTCGTCAGCTCCGTGTGAACATAGCGAAATTCTTGAACTGTCTCGTTAGAACGAATTGTCCGGTCAAATTTTTCAGCCAAAAATTCGGTCAAAAATTCAGTGTCCGCTGCCGTGTGAATATAGCCTTGATGTTTTCCCCGATTTCCAGGCACTTTGCTAAAAACAACTCAGCTGCGTCTCGTCATTTTGTTATTTACTTCTCGGCGTCGGGAAACGGGATGAAACCGTCCGCATCTCCTCTGTTTCAAGTTATATCTATCTCGAAAAAACTGGGATTGCATAGCAGTCTTACCAAGATCGAATAATTATATAGTAATATAATAATGATATATTATCCTCCGTATAACAACTTAATTTAGCCTTGAAACAACGTAATTATTCATTCGTTCTTTCGTTCCTTCATTCATTCATCTCCGCATTCATCCATCCATCTACTCCTTTCTCCCTTGCTTCCCTCATTCATGCATTTATTCATTCGTTTAATCTATCAATCAATCAATTCAACCAATCAATCAATCAATCAATCAAGCAATCAGTCATTCATTCAATTGGCTTAATAACCCAAAGATGTTACCGGCTCTCTCTCTCAGCTTTAGCAAGTCTGATCGGCCCTGGATTCTGTCCCGGACATGACAACGAATCTACGCTTTATCAAGTTCTGAAGAACGATTTTGTGTACGTTCACTACAGGTCACGAGATACACTGACCCTGGCGACATATGGAGGAAACTTAAGCTGCGTGGAGAGGATACAGGATCTGTAACGCCTTCAATTTCCAGCGATGGCAAACCAGAAGAAGAGTCACGTTTGAATGTAAGTATTCCTCATTTTTTTTTCAGTACCTCACCCTTTCCCCCGTCATGTAAGGCGCATTTGATCATATTTGCATTTTATTTTGCGCCCAAAATATAATTGTTTTGTTATTAATCACTATTACTATCATTGGCAGACCCAGCCTTCCTTTCATGATATATTTTGAGGTCAGCGTTTCCTAAATATACGGTACTTTCTTTTGATGTTGCTCAATTTTTTGCGCATTATGAAGTTGTGTGACGGTGTCACCTTATACTTGCATTTTACGGCTCCTTTACAAAGTGCTGCACTAAGAAAAAGAACATTGATGATTAGTCAGAACCTTGCTGTGTTCCAGACCATCGTCCAGAATGCCGCGACATATATCTGGGAACATTGCAAGTGTCAGTCTTACTACTAACTTCACACAGTTCGAGGCCTTTTCATAGTCGTTAGACTGACACTTGCCATGTATCAACCAATTTCCTTCATCGGTTTCGTCAACGGTCGTCATCGTTTGTCCTTTTCCTCCACATGCCCCTCACACTCTCATGCCATGATACTTTTGTCGCATTTTTTCCTCATGGTTAAACTATGGCCATGTTAAACAAGTTGTGAGTCATGATTGTATGAATTTTGATTCCATCTGTTTTTGCCCTTATTAGCACATCATTTTGGATTGAGCTCTGTCGTCACTAACACAAAATACGTCATGTGAACAGCTTTAACATTGACGATGTTCAGTCACTGGTTTCTTGTCTTACCTTCCCCATTTGATACCTAGTTTTGGATCGTTGCCAGATCATTGCTCATATGGAGGGGGGAAGGGAAGGAGTAACCACGCACTTTCCAGAATAATTATATTATACCACTTACAATATTACCAAAAACGTTTGTAACCTACTATGGTGAAAGATTCATTCCTTGTTTTTTTGTGTCAAATTTTGCTCTCGGACTTTTAGACTTTTCTATACTCCACCTATAATATTAATGTCTTGACATTATCTTTCCGCTCAAATATCTGACGCGGCAGGCGGCACAGTTACTATCCGTTTTTTTGTAAGTTTCAATAACCATGTTCAGATCATCTTTCTCTGTATAGTCAATTCGAGAAGTGTGCAAAACAGCTGGAAGAAATCCCTTGATTTTGCACAAAACATTTATCTCTAATCCAATAGGAGATTAGCGTTAACTGAATGCTATTATAAAAAGTGACTGAATGTTTTATTTTTCTTTAGCTGAGGAAAATGAAGGCAACAGTCAAATCAGTCGTTCAAACCACTTCTAAAAAGAAGGAGGGTGGCAAGAAACAGATGCGGGATTGCTAATTATTATTTGTACCAAGTAAAATAATAATCTATGATGTTACCGTTTTTTAGGTTCATTTTATTTAACCCGGGGGGTACTCCTGGAAATTCTTGGTGAGGGTGTGCTGCCCGAATCTCTAAATTGTGACCCTATTGCAGACCAAAAAATTGCCATTTTTCACACCCGTTTCCAGACCTGGCCTCTATTAGTAAGAAATTATGTCATTATTACTCAGATTACAACAGCAATAATAATTTTAAAAAAAGCGTTTCTTCAAATGCACTTCGAATTCACATTTTTCCCTTTCTTTCCTATTCATTTGGACTTGAAACAATAAATACGTTCATACGCTACCATACTTCCCTCGAAAACCATATCCGATTCCAGACTAAAATAGGCAAAGTCTATACCTGTTTTCAGTCCGCGCAAAAACCATACGCTTTAGGGTGACACATACATGTATGGCTTATATAATGGAGACCTCCCGGGTATTTAACTAAGTACAACATGCACATTAATCTTTTGTACAGAGGCATTTGTGTAATGTCAATTAGACGAGATATCAACAAGCTAGACTTCTCGATTGCAGTACAAACTTCTACAAAGTTACAAAGTTTGACCCTCTTTCAGCGAACATTCTCTCTTTGTGTTAGAGGCTCGAAATGGGTTCTGTTCACGCAAAACGAGGGGAACTCGCTGTAATGCCTCAGATTTAACGTCACCTGGCTAGTACAAAATCAACAATTTCTTCGGATTTCGTTATTTATTAAATTATGTGAACGCTGGTCTACCAGTTTTTAAAATATCCTTTATTGGCACTTGCAAGATTTGGGACGAATTTCATCTTGTACATTTTTGCTGCATACTTTTGTAAGTAATCATGATGATGATAATAATAATAATAACAATAATAATAATAATAATAATAATAATAATGATAATAATAATAATGACGTATTGATATGGGGCAATGCGCCTGATCATACCAAGATTTGATACCATATCAACTTAGAGTTGATCACAACTAACAACGTAACAATCCTGCGAGCAAGCTCTCCGGGGCGTTCTGGCGGCAGAGCGATAAAAGTAAGGAGAGATTGCAACTACGTCTCTGGAATTTAAATATCTGCATAGAAAAAGTCGATGCGAAGTGCTGATTGGCGGAGACGACATTATTAATGACGTCATAAATAAACATATGGTGCCAACTTTCCTCACTTGCAGCCAGTGGCTGAGTTGCGGAGGAACCAGAGGGGTGAGATCGGACGTCAGCATATAAAGGCGTCAGCATATAAAGGCGTACTCTTGCAGCCACTTCAGTTTCTGTTTTGATCACACCTCGCCCACCCAGACCGATGAGGGCACAAGTCGGATAGACCATGACATCGGAGCCTACGTCCCCTACTCTTTTCGAACAATGTTACGGGATCTTTTACGTCCCCTTTCAACTGAAGTACAAGGATGAAGGAGACAAGGCCAACGGCTTAACGTCACCGCCCAATGACGCGATCATCTGAACTGAGAAAGAAAATTCACAGCCAGCATGATCTCACCAGTTTTTTTCAAAGACCTTGGTTAGTGGTCTGGCCCGGGTTTGAACTCACGACCTCCTGTTCAGCCGACCGGCACTCTTCCAACTGAGCTAACCGGACGGCGGTTACGTTTGGCAAGTGTTTTTCAATGTTTGTTTGCATTCGCGCTCGTTTACGCTTCACGCTGATTGGCGGACGGCTCAGTCAACGGGGAGCCACAGGGGAATTGGAAGTAGAATTCAAATTCCAGAGACGTAGTTGCAAGCTCTCCCTCCTTTTCCTCCCCTCTGCCTGAGCGCCCCGGAGAGCTTGCTCGCAGGGTAACAAATAGACCCGATTCCAATATATCATACTTCTAATTATGTAGCTATTTTATTCTCTGTCCCCGACCACCTGAGGTTTAATTCTCTAAATCGGGTGAAATTCAAGCGGCGAATCCGCAATAGTGAGGCTTGGCGTCCGTGGACAGCTTCTTTTGAACAAACCTCTTGAACCAGGGTAAGATACCTGTAAGTTTTTTTTTTTCAAATTATTTATTTACAGATATAGCGTGGTCAAGCGGTCACAAATCGGATGAGCAGTCCGTGCGGACCTACTCCCGCTCAGATTGCTGGGGTGGTTTCTCAGCATGTATACCACCTGAGTTCAAATTCCCGACCATGCTTGAAAATAGCCGACTGGTCGGCTAGCTCTTCGTGCGCCTATTTAGTACTGTTAATTTTTATGTTAATTATTTGCTCAATTTTACTAGCCAGTGTCGGCTAGGGTTTTGGGTATACGGTATCTTTCCCCTGAAAACATATGATTTCGGGTAATGCTACTGTTGGTTATCTTTAGGCTTGGAAATATACAATGTACGTTGAGAAAAAATTGGGGGTGAATTTCCATTTAGTGTCTAACTTATATCGGTATCCCCGTACTGACCGACCCTGAAGAATGACTAGCTTTTCCGTTATAAACAACTTGCAGGGTATGGGTGGGATAGGTCATTTTACTGTTATTATAGTTAGCTATCGCAAAAAAAAGAGGTACAAAAATTAAGGAACAGACCGTACTTGTTACAATGTTCAGTGTTCACTTTAAGCATTAAGAAAGAGAAATGAGGTGCGTTTTGATAGGTTAGTAGCGCCAAAGAAGGCAATTAATTGTATGCTAGCACTACTTGATTTAACTAGTTTAAGCCACTATATCGCAAGTTAACAAAGATTATTACCCGAAAGTTACCACGGTTGATGAAGATGAAAATTTGTCATGATCAGTATTTCAGGGCTTCTATTGATAGCAGGGATGCTTTACAATCTCTCTGATCGACTACTCTGAGTAATACAAGCATATTTTTTTATACTTGTGCTCTGCAAAGATTCGCTATATAACATAGCAAGGTAATGACACCACTACCTAGTTTGCTTTTGCTCGTTTCTCTTTTAGAAACTGGAAAATGGTTGAAGTACCGCGTCGATGTTAACCTGCCCCATAAACGGAACCAAACTTCTGGCTACATCCGACTGCGAAACAGTACCAGAAATCCTTGTGCTATACCTCCCCCCCTCCCCTAACCCCGTGTATCAGGGTTTGAGTACGCGCCATGGTTGGCCCGTTAAAATACCATTGTTTTGCCAATCAGGTCGAAGAGAACACCGAAACGCAGTGTCTCCGGTAATAGGCACTTTGCAGCTTTCCATTCACGTGGTTCAAAACCGCCATGTTGGGACGCAAATGTCGCACTGGGACAAGACAAACAAAGAAAATTATCATTTAAAATTATGTATGCCTTTTGTTGGTCTTGCCCCAGTGCGACTTTTGCGTCCCAACCTTGATGCTGAATGACTCTTAATAACTGGCTAATATCTAAAATGGATTAGCGCGTTAGAGACCCTTTTTCAATGTGTGTTGTTGCCTTAAAAGCTATCAATGATCCTAAATACAGGGAAACAATGGAGAAGTTTCCGGTCAAATCAGAAGGTAAATGTAATAGATATTAATTTTGTGGTATTCATTTTTAGTAAATTAATAAAAACACTGCAAACTGGTAAGTTCACTAGAAGGAGTAGTTTTATCCCTCTGGATCTGGCTAAGTTAATCTCAACTTTGTGTGTTTATTTGCGCACAGCTTGTTCTTGAAAGCGTTTAGTAAACTGGTTCCAGTAAACTTTAATTACTTCTAGCCCTATTTGTTCACAAGGTGGACAACGGTGGTAAGAATAAATCATTATCCAGTGGATAACGCAATTTATTTCAGTAATATTTAATCCGATGTATAACGTCCGTATTTTGCGTCAGTAACTCGTAACAGTACTTTAACTGACGATTCTGAGGCCAGCGGTGCGATCATTTTACCTTCTGTCTCCATCAGTGCTCCGTTTTACGTGTTATTTAAGCTATAAGGAAAGGAAAAAAGTCGAAACAAGGATTTGAGGTCACACTGGGGAACTTCCCGCACAGAACAACGTGCAGTAACCGACTCCGCTAATCCTTATTCCAACATTTGAACAAACGGGACTTCTGCTGTCACAATAGCAACTTATATTAGATGACAAGTACGAATCGTATACCATTTTCAGAAGAGTGGGGTCATTTCTGTTCCACATGGAACAATCATGCAGGTTATGCGTTCATCTCTGAACGGCGCATAACCTGTTCATCTCAAGAAGGATACTAGACCTTTGTACGCATGCAGGTACCTCATTTGGAAATTCTGATCAATCCTAAAGCTACACTAAAAAACCTAGAAATATTCTGGGAAAATCCACTGCCAATCGCTATTCACCAATTACTCCTTCCTGGCCACGATTCCCTAGGAAAGAAAAATAAACTGAAGCTAATCTTTAGTTCATCTTTACAATGTTTGTTGCACAATTCTCAAAGTTTCTTTCAAGCTATACTTTATCTTAATCTAAGCTTTCTTTCTGGGTATTACACCGGTGCAGAGAAAGTATAATGTTTTGTTCCTTGATGACACCGTGAATTTTACCATATTTCAGAAGGTTATAGCATCAAGGGTATATATACTTAGCGGCTGTGACGGGGATTTTTTGAAAGAACTATTCTTCCTGTTTGTCACACTAGAAGCCTTTTTGGCCCGCCAAAAGTGAGCGCTAGACGAAAATGTGTACGTGTGATTTCACGGGTTTCGCCATTTTACCTCCTTTTGCTCGCCGTTGTCTTACTGGGTTGATTCACAATTTTTGACCCAGAAAACTTAGTGTTTGGTTTCCATTGCAACATTTCATTCGAATTTAGACTGCAGCAGCCCTCGATAAGGAAATAAGTTTGAATACACTTTGGAAAGTTAATTTACTCGTAATCTCTGTAATCACCAACTGTAAACAAAGACTGGCAGTACAGTTCGATTGTAGCCATTAGTATTTAAACAGCTAGTTTCGCTCACGCTCTGCACCAAAGACTTCACCATAGTCGCAATTAACCGACGAGAACTGCATTCTTGCAGAATTCATGACATTCGCACAGACACAGTTATAGTAAATTCCTACGAATGAACAATAAGACATCGCGCTTTTATTTTAAAGACTCACTTCTGATCTCAAAAGAATTCAAATCAGTGGACTGCATCAGGCTATCAGCGGTTAGAGAATGATCTTGACTCACGCAGAGCATAATTCTCCATACTTGGCCGGTAGCTTTAGTTTAAGCTACCGTGTACAACTCAAATCTGACGATCTCACTATGCGTGAAAATTCAACTGAAATCCTTGAAACAACACTTACAAGCTGGGCCCAGCGTCAGCCCGGGAGGGGCGGGGGGTACTCAACAAATTTTTATACGGCGGAGGCCCACCCCTTAAACCTTTTATATACCATTTTTCACGATTTCGTATTCCTTCTATTGACAAATGGTACTCCTTTCACATACCTTGCTTAGAACTTTGAATCCCTCTTAACTGCTGGAAACCCGCACTGTAATAAAATAGGAATCAGTCACAAATATAGAACGCTCTCTCGACGGGTAAGGAGTTGGACCTTGGGACGGAGCCTCCCCGTACAAATATTTGTTGAGTACCTCTCCGGGATTTCGGGCGGAGCCTCCCCGCATAGGCCATCATGGGGAGTACCATCCCCCCGGGCATAGCAGGAAATAATCACATTCGTGGACAAAGAAACTTACAGGCATGCATGTAGTTATTCCGCAGATCCAGGATTTACGGGGAAAACCATAGAAACTAAAATTTTTATTTAGCCGTAATACTAAATTAAAGCTTTAGGCTTAAACAGAGGTCAAAGAAAATTAAAACACTTTACAACTGCATCTGAGGTCAACTCCTATCAGGAAATGATTACTCTTGCATG